TTTTTTTTTTTTTATCGACACTTGAATGCCCTGCCAGAGATTCCTACTAATCTCTGGACCTGCGCGCGATAATCTTCTGTACGCGTACGCGAGCGAGAGAGGGGTTGCAGTGGCACAGGTGCTCCACAAACTATAGATAAATATGCAGTTACAAAAAACAGATTTTTTTTTTTTAATATAATGATTGTAAATAGTTGCTCAACTACCAAATTGCGTTTTAATTAGCTTTTGCGATTCATTTGGGGGAAAAAAACAACGAATACAGTCGTTTTGTTATTTTGTTTTGCTTCCCTGATCCTATAAATTCGAATGAAAAAGTATAAACTCACCGCACCCTGGTAGATTTCTATTTCTTTTTCGCTGAAATATGGCATCTGCTTGAACGGATTGATCGACACAAGCACGGGGCCAATGCATGTCTGACTCGTGTTAAGAAACAAAATATTACCGTGCAATGTGTACACACGCACACACAACGACATATACCTACATCTCTAAACAAACTATAAACCGAAACTTAAAAGGTTTTTTTTTTTCAATCAACTGTAATTTTGGAACGAAGACTCAACCAAATAAAAAAATCTATTGTACTCGCGAATGAAGGTTCACGAAATTGATTCATGATATTTCGACCATACGATAAATTTATAAACTAAAGTAGGTACAAACAGAGATTATCACCATCAGGCTCACTATAATAACTTGATGTGAATCGTGGAGAGTCACAGAATAAGAAAAAACAATTGCAAACGTAAAAAGGATACGAATATGTAGTCATCCGCGTATCGTTTGCGAAGATTCTCGACGATCGCGTCCTCGTTGATTTTCGACAGCAGCACCATGTCGTCCACTCCGGAGACTTTGACATTTTGACTCTGCCAATGGTACACCTGTGGACATAAAAAGTAAGTATCAGTCGAGTACTCGTTGTGTTTCTCTATAGGTACGCAATAAATGCGCGCAAGCTTGTTGTGTGTAACGGAGCAATAAGCGCTAATGTCGGCTTAATGGTTATCACGATGGCAAAACGAGGGCACCTATATTTGACACGGAAGGAGCGAATTGTCTGCCGCCCACGCTCGGCTCTTACGGCTTTGCACCCTTTAAGCCACGGAATTCATATATTTATAATATCATGTACTTATACGTCGTACATTTATTACTACTGCGATATTGTATATAAAAATTCGTTACATATATGGTTTTTACAATCAAGGACTGAGACACTGATCAAATTGTGACTACTTTGATTCCTCCACATCGTCGATATAAATGTGTCTACGTGATTATATTTATACATACGTCGCCTGACTGATTGAAAACTAATTATTCAACAGTTATGATTATTTTTGTAAGTTTAATTGCGGTTTGAAACGCCACTACCTCCCAAGTGATATTTTAAGTAGGTGGTACATCATCAGCTACCAAAGCACATACAGGTATTATAATTTTTTTTTTTAATTAAACTGTCGTCCGTTGGCAATGAATAACTATTCATTCGTTGATGCAATAAAAAAAAAAAAAAAAAAATGAAAAAATAAAAAAGAAATTATGCATCACAATAATTATGTTATGCGTCATAGTCAAATTGAATGATAATGGTAATAATAATAATAATAATAATAATAATCTGCCGTGCCTTTACGGTATGAAATTGCTAATGGACATTGGCCTCCTTGTCATATTAACTCTCGAGAGTTTTTACATACAATCGAAGGTACTGCAGCTCGCAGTAAGTAAAAGGTTCTATAATAAGTATATACATATACAGCAGCCTGAATTATAAATAGAGTAAGTAGTAGGTACCTACGAGGCATCCGATAAATAATATCATCATCATTGTCGCTACATTCGATTGTATGAAAATAGACGTGGATACAGCTCGAGTTGAAAACAATCGAGCGCTAAATTTTGTGAAAGAAAAAAAAAAAAATTTTGAAAAGTAAGGGTGACAGATGAGAGAGCACATACCCACACGGAGTATCATGCAGACGCGGAAAGACGGACGGGTTGAGGGTGATGAGAGACGTGCGCAACAGCGAGTGCGGGTAAGAATCAGTATAATATGTTGTAGGTTTTAAAATTTAATGTCGAGAGAGAGCATTCTCTATGCCGTTTTAATTCAGGAGAAAAGTCGCCCATTGCCAAGGCACGAACAAATGATGATTATTATCAACACCGAGTGAAATCAGGTTGTGCGTATGCAATTGTTACATCCAAGGATCCAAGTAGTGGATAATGGAAATGTGAAAATGCCGAGGCCTGGCAGCGTAAGACAACTCTCACAATTTCAGGGGTATGTAAGCTGCGGGAGCTACAAGCTCAGGCAGATATAGGGCTTGGCGTTGAAAAAAAAAAAAAAAAAAAAAAAAAAACCGTGTCGGAGGGGAATGAATGAACAGACCGAGTGGATGTTAAATGTTTTATTCGATGGCCTCGAAGATCATATAGGTATATTATACGTAGGTAGGGGGTATAAACACCCAAGCATTTTCAGCGATTTCACGCGTTTCCGGTGTTGCTCAACTGTCGCAATGTATTATAACATAAAGAGTTCTTCCACCCGTTGACCGCTGTATACGTATGTATACCTATTCACCAAAAACTTGGAACTTTTCCTCTGTACCCAAATAGATATACACGCATGGTACATTTATATACTTAGTGTCTGATGGTGGCTGCGCTGACTCGCTCCAGCAGAGTACCGCTCATCAACCTAAGTATAGACGGGGCTAAAATGATGTTTCTATATTTATATGATGCATCCAGAGGTTATTTTTTATTGGCTCGTAAGTAAGTATGTAAATATACTTACACATACGTATAAAGTGCCCAAACTTGACAAAGCTTCCGATCTATTTAACCATTGTCTCGCACATATTTTTCTATTATGCATACAAATAACAATTATTGGATATAATTTTTTTTATCAAATGATCAATAGCCATTCGGATCGCCTAATTCTCCCACACGAGCACCTAACTGTGAATGTTTTGCAATTTAGCATTAAAAAAAAAAAAAAAAAAATCGCAAAGAAAAGTGGTGGTATGTAAAAAAAAAACTTTAAATTAGTCTTGTACGGAGAAATTAGGATCCCATTTATTGCTCAAAATAAACTTGGTATAAGTAAATTAACCACTCAAGAAGTAATCAATCACGTCTAAGAAAATCACAGACACGAATTAAGCTCATGGCAATAAACACCCCATAATATGCTAGTCTGATTTGCGGGTTAATACTAAACACAAACATTAAATTCAGGAAAATTTTGTCCAACACCTTTTTTATCGTATTTTATTGCTTGATCTCTAACTGGCACAAGTTTGTGAAGCACGTCATATTGTATAAAAGCCTTTTTTTCCGATTTCGAAGAAGCAATTGTTTTTTGTTGAATTGCTCGTGTTTTGTACCGCACATCATCGTCATCTCACCGCCACCGATCTTACAACTTCACAATTCCACGTAATGGGAACTCACACACACACACACACACACGTGCGCGCGCGTTTAGTTGCACTTGTACCAGAGTGCGTGAAAGTATATACTACATACGTATATAGATATAGTACAAGTAGTAAAGAGAGGAGTTGTGCTATAATTGCAAGTATATACTTGTATATGCTTACTTGCGCGGGTCCAAAAAGTAACGCGCGAAGCTGCTGAACCGCTAAAGTACGTGCACTGCAGCAAGTAACTAATCGCGACTGGAGGAACATTCAACGAGTAACACGTGTAGGCACATATAAAAATTCTTAATTATAATACGTGTGAATATTTTGTCATAGATTTTGATTCATTTGGAGCTAATGTTAAGGATATATATTATATATATTGCCAAGTTTTTCTATTCAAGTAAATTTACATAATCTAATACGTGTATGATATTTATACACAAAAATGATGTTTTTGAGTGAAAATATACAAATAAAATTTGAGTGGGGGAAAATATTGTTGCTCGATAAATTGTGAGTCAGATATTAGTGTATCCTAATGTTACGAGGTATGTACCTATATATAGAAGAAAAGAGCGTCCCGACGTTTCAGCTGTTTCCAGCTTATGTTCCTTCTTATTATTGATGTTCTACACGCCTATGTTGCACGTACAGCAGGCATTCCAAACATTTTTACTTACAATTGACGAACTCTTTATTTTAAAAAATGAGAGAATTCAAAAATGCCGTGATTCAACGGTAACATTGTATCAAAATTAATAAATTGTTCATCAACTCCTAGTATAAGGTGCTGCGGATTACTCGATCATTTACACTCTCGCGTTGTACCAATAAGTATTGCAAACATTAAGTACAGCCTGAATGCCTGAATAGCTCTGATGTTGTTGTATCCGTACCATAACCACTTAAATTATATCAATGAAATAATCGTGGCAAAAAATTTTTTTCGCTTCAGGCAAGAGTAGTATAGTATTAAAGTGGCTATCAGTAAGACATGGACCAATTGAAAAATTTAACATTACTGGAAGGAGTCTACGAATTTTAATAAAAAACAAATAATCAAAGAAAAGGCGAGACATGATGTTGTACGTTATAAGAAATGAAGCCATGACTCATCCAGCATCTCTCGGCGACTTTTTTTGTCAAATTTTAATGGGGAAATGACGATCGAGTTTTCATCAATCATATAAACACGCTTAGCTATTGTGATACTTATATTATTCAAATTCTTTTTTTTTTGCAAAATCAATAAATTTTGTATACAAACATAACACACATATTATAATTTCTAATAGGATCTATAGATTTCTTTCGCCAAGAGATTGTTAATCTTAATTTTTGTCCAAGAATTTAGAGATGAAACGTTACGGTATTTCGCTAAAAAATAAATAGATGCCCTAAGGTTTTTCATTCCAAACTTGTCACCGCCAGAATAATCTAAATTTAACGAGTCGAAGCTTAATTCCGGTTTCGTAAAGACAAGTTCAGTGAACTCGAAAAAAGCACTTCCGCTAAAAATACAAGGGGCGCGGTGTTTCACAACAGAGCCGATGGTTCACGTAAGGGGGGATCCCTCGATGTGCAGCACAAAAAACATAGGTAAGTATTATAGGTACCTACAAATGCTAAAAGCGCTTAGTGGTCCAAATTTTATATATATATATATATATAAGATCCATACAAGATTTGGCAAAGAGTTGCATCCAACTCTGCTGTTATTGTAGGTATACGTAGATTTATACGGTGCAATGTCCGAACGCCTGCGGTTTGCTTATAAAAGTCATTGAGCATAATATATAAGGGTAAATTATCCGAGCCATTTAAACGTAAAAAAAGAATTTGATTGTCATCTCGTCGGAGTCCAAAAAAATTGCCGTTTTTTTCGACCATTCGTTGTATTAGCAAGAGGTATAGGTATACAAATATGCCAAAGTAGCGCGCGCGAGACGCGAGCACGTACGTATATTTATGTACTTACTAATTTGAGTTGATCTACAAGAGAGTGTTTCATCTGTATACTTGTAGCATTGGGTATCCATTTGTACGTACAAACGCCATTAGAAAAAAAAAAAAAAAAAAAAAAAAAATTCACGCGTCCTCGGCTGTGTATGTACGGCCAAGCGCATGTGGAACGCGCACATGTTACATTGTCAGCTTCACATATAGTGGTATACAACGTTATACTATCCCCCGTGTGCAACATAATGGGTATAAAAAAAAATCTGGAATTTCCACCATAGGTGTACTCACCAAGTAATTAACTGCAGATCACGCGGTAACAACGGACGAGACATTTCCCTATGCGCGGTGTGTGCCTGCATATTATAAGTAGGTATATGTGCTGTTAGGTGCTCAAAAGTATTTGCGCAAGTACCTATAATTGATCCATACTTTTCTTTCATCCTTAGCGCACGGTAAGTTGTAATTGGATTTTTTTTTTTTTTTTTTTCCTTTTAAGGCACCGGGTGAACAAATGAATCTATAGCAATCACATAACGTGGCTACGGTATCGTTGAATTGCTGATTTTGATTCGTATAAAATGTTTCACGAAGGATGACTCACAATCATCAGTCGCACGAGAGTGCGTGATTCATTTGAAAGAAAAAAAGAAAACACCATCTTACTCACGCCTTCGTAATCACTCGTATACCTATACTCACCCAAGCCACGAAGCCTATGGCATATTTTTATGCGATACCCTCTACTATACCTAGTTAAGTACAAAAAGCAAAAATATAAGGGGAAAAAAAAAAGTATTTAGTCGTCGTCTCAATGCAGAATCCACAGGAGCATATTCCACGATAAACTTCCATGCTTCGATTGGCCCATCAGATTGCGCTAACTTACTATCCGTCAATTGGATCGCGTTGGATATAATGGAAGATTATTTACTTATGTGAAACAATTTTTTTTTTCTTTCTCGATACCGAGCTTCCCTTTCTCCAAGTATACCTGAGAATTAACCTCCAGATTAGCAAAGTTGAAAAAACAAAAAAAAAACAAAAAAAAAAAAAAAAGTCCCTCTTTTGACTAGAGGCGCGTCAAAACTAGAACTGCATTCTCGGAGCGCAGAGGAGACAAGCTTTATCTCACGTCCGGGTCTGACGAGGTTCAGCAAAGGACTTGTATGAAACATCTAATTGAGAGTCTTGGTGGAGCAGCCTCTTTTTATATACCTACCTATACGAAGCGCATTCGTGTGACGCTGCTCGCGGTGTCTCTAGTGCAATATTTTTTTTCTTTCTTTTTCTTTGTCTCTTTTACCGCTTTGGGCCGTCTCTTTACAAAATTAAGTATATTATACCCCGTGAGTGTAGTGTGTAATTTTAAGTAGTTTCCCCGCAGCTCTTTATACATCGGCTCTTGTGTTAATCTTTCGACAGTGCATGTGAAATTAAATATGTTCAGTTAAATACAGTAGCTCTTCCTTTCTTGACATACATTTGGAGGAATATTTTCTTGCAATGATGTATTTACTCTATTTTGCGGTATTATTCCGTTGTAGTACTTAAAATAAAGTCTTTTCACACAAAAATAATCGTGCGATAATTAAACCACGTGCACGCACGAAGGGACAAGAGACACCATGCCATCAATATACATTCACATCAAGTCAACGGGATAAGTACGCGGCTGGATGATAAACGCGAGTACGGTATTATGTATTATTATATCGATGGTGCGTCATGTGTGTGTCATTATACATTCGATTGAGAAAAGAGCATCATAAGCCGCGCTGATGTGTATATCATATTGATACTCAATAGCTGAATAAAATACAAAGTGTCGATTAAAAACTTTTCCTTTTCCTTTTTTTCTTGACCATTGTTGGTATCCGAATGACTCGAGTTCATAAGTATAATTATCTCTCGCATCAAAATGGCTCTGATGATAAATTGTCAATTGTATAGAGTGCTATCAGGCAGTGTTATTATTATTATTATTATTATTATTATTATTTGTTGTTTTTATTATCATCAAGTCATCGACATCAGCCTATGAAGAAAGTAAAATGGACATTTGATTTCGTAAGCACGTTTTACTTAACAAATGTACTACAGAAAATTAAAATTAAAATTTTTGACACCTATGTATCTATATTATATATTCAATTAATCGTATTATTGTTATTATAGACAAAAAAACTGGTTTTATGAATTTATGTAAGTAATATTTTCCAACAAAACTTTATTAAATAAAGACGTAAATTAGTTGGATGCTTAGATCTCTGTTAGAATTTTTACCTTTGCACAATAGACTATTTACTTTATTCAAAAATATTTATAAATTATTCGTTGATATGCTGGTAAGCAGCATCACGAAACATATTGTTAGATAATTATCTACGCCCACCTATTATTAGACATATTAATAAAAGCCAAAAATTGAATTGATACGGTACCAATAATTGTTACCTGCAAGCTTATATATGCTGCACGATAACGAATATCACGTTGGTGAAAGACGGATTATTTATCAAACGAAGAATATTGTGTTGAATACCTACTGCACCTATATCCTTGGCCTTGTAAAAATATTGAGTCAGCGCCATGACATGTGTAGGCGCAAACTTTCTCTCTCCCTCTCTCTCAGGCTCTCTTTTTCTTAGCAGTTTTTTTTAAACTCAAGGTCATGCATGAGCTCGTCAATTCGACCCTCGAACACCATATACATTTTTTTTTTAATATAATACATTAGGTACAAATCCGATACACAAAAATCATTGGTATACGATTATCAGGTACTACCATAGGTGTTGGTATATTCATTATCTTCCCTCTCCATTGAAGTGCATCATTTATCTACAAGTTTTATTTATTCACGCACCTGCTTCCCTCACTCTATTTGAAGTGAATATATATAAGTATAGCCAAGCGGGTCAATGCCTCATTGTCTCCTCGTTCTCCTCCTACCTTCGATTCTACATTATGCGTCCTTCTCAATATTACCTTGTACACTTTAAACCGTTGCACCGAAATAAACAACTACGTGGATTTACTTAAGTAAACTAACTCACCATTTCACCAGGTTTTCTTCAATTTTCTTACAGAATCATCAAGGAGGAATTTTGCTTTGATGTTCGCCTCTCAAATTTTCCGTTTCTTTCGTGTACTTTACCAAGTTGCAAGTCTTGCAAAAATCATAGCACCCAAAAGTATGTACTGAACTTCTATTACTTGGTCTTTCTCTTTTTAAAATCTTCAAATCTCATTATTTTCATTGTCTGAAAATAAAAAACACGAAATTCAGCCAATATATGATCTACAAAAGTTAAGAGACACCAACACTGTAAGCCTGACCTGCAGTGATTTACGTTTCTTTATAATCTTATTATTGACAATATTTACAGTTGAACAACGAATAAACGTAATCCTTTGTATCAGTGGCACTTATCACACGTTTTTCTTATCAGTGTTATTGAAATTAAACGGCGATAACATAAAATTGTGCTAATTTTTAAACTAGCTTGTGTGATATTCAATTAGTATCGTGATACACGTTGAACAGAAGAGAACGATTATAAACTTAAACTTAATTGTTCAATACACCCCATCCAATTGAAGTTTCAATTCAACAAGTATACCGAAACAATTAGTAAGTTATTCAAGATGCATGGCAAGCTAACATGCTTGTCCGTATATATAGGTGTATAGGTATAGGTTTAATGCAAGAATGAATCAGCTGGATAAGTTGGATGTTACTTCAAACAGTAGCAGTGTATGCTGTGTAAGTAGATCAATTCCAAAGATCACAGGCACGCAAGTAAGATATATGTACAAAATAACACAATTACTCCCTCGTATCCGTTGATAACCATAAATTCACGTACCTACTTATGTACGTGAAAAAATAGTTGAATGTCAAACGTATCAAAAGTGTAAAACACTACACAAAACAAAGAAAAGACACAGAAAAACTACATAACCTATGCAACAAACACCGGCAAGAGTTTAAGCAATACTAGATAATTTGCTGCAGTAACAGTAACAGCTAGCACCCTGACTCCTGACCTGCGACGGCTGCGACTCTCTCTCTCTACTCTCTCACTTTCTGACTCCGCAAATGCTGCCAGGGGTCTGATCGGGGCATTCGATATCTCGCAAAAGTAAGCATTATTTTCGATAATCCCTATAAAATAACCAAAATTAACGATCATGCGCATGCGCAGTTTAGGAATTATCGCCGATAAATCGATGATCGACAAAAATGCTTACTTTTGCGAGATATCGAATGCCCCGATCAGACCATCAGACCCCAGTTAAATAAAAGTTACGTATCATGCGGAACGCACCGACAGTAAGACAGTTAGTACAGGTTGACGCCAGCGCCGCCCGTCCCCCCCGGCCACCCTCTTATACCTATACATATATAAGTGTTCGTAAGCGTAAAGTACGCAAAAAGTACCACAACAATGAAAAACGATAACCGAGTATCGTCATCCCATGATTGAATAGTATGATCATAACAGAGAGAGCCGATTTAAGTAACAGATGACCATACATTGTTGCTATCATTCGTGCAGCCCCTAACAGTTGTTATCTAAGTAATAAGTGTCATTAAAATAATAGTTGTAAGTAAGTAAATAAAGGTAAACATTAGTGTTGTAACAGCCGTGACTTGAGAAAGTTGAGAATCAAGGCATTGAAAAACGTGCAAGAAAAGTTGTACATTTTAATAATTCTCCTTGCAGCCGTATACGATCGGAATGTCCAGTTTTGAGGTACACTTCCCTAAGGAAGATCAGCCTTCGAGGATAAAAAAATGGAAGGTTTCGGAGGGAACGATGGTTACCGCCGGCAGAATCCTTCTTTTGTACCAGGACGTTGCAACTGGCAAGATCGAGAAGAAGCTGCGGGCTACACAACTTGGTCGAGTTGTCAAGCATCTCGTCAAGGAAAATGAAACCGTTCATACAGGGTAACTTAAAGCTTCTTAAAACTAATTTTTTAAATCTCTCCACTAAATTGTTCATATGATTTTGATATACTGAAACACTACAGTAGCATTTGGTTATTTTTTGCTATTTTTTAGGCAACCTGTAGCACTTGTAGAAGGATGTAAGCATCCAACTGTGATAAAAGATTTGTGTGCAGAATGTGGAGTTGATTTGAGAGAAGAATTAAAAGCAAATCCTAATAAATCACTAGTATCTCAAGCTAATGTACCTATGATACACAGTGTGCCAGAGTTAAAGGTAACAGCTGAATTGGCTGAAAAAATTGGTCGACAAGACAAAGAAAGATTATTGAAACACAAACAATTAGTATTGTTAGTTGATCTGGATCAAACCATTGTTCATACAACAAATGACAATGTTCCCGCCAATCTTGAGGTGTGTTTCAAATGAAACTGTATGATTTCCAGTTTTTCTTGTCTGAGTTATTTGTTCCAACTTAATTCATCCCAACTTTTATCCTTGTCTTTGGTTTCAGGACGTTTATCATTTCCAACTTTACGGTGTAAATTCACCCTGGTATCATACAAGATTGAGACCACATACTCGACATTTTCTATCAGAAATTAGTAAGCTCTACGAGTTGCACATATGCACGTTTGGAGCTCGTCAATATGCACACATGATAGCCTCGCTTTTGGATAGTGATGGAAAACTCTTTTCCCACAGAATACTATCCAGGGACGAATGTTTTGACTCACAGTCTAAAACTGCTAATCTGAAGTATGTTCGATGCACAAGAAAAATAATTGTCATCTACTACAAATTTTTTTTATTTATTAAAAGCATTCGTTTTACTTTTTAGAGCACTGTTTCCTTGTGGAGTTGACATGGTCTGCATTATTGACGATAGAGATGATGTATGGCAGGGTTGTGCCAATTTGGTACAAGTTAAGCCTTACAATTATTTTTTACACACTGGTGATATTAACGTACCACCAGGCTTGGAAAGACAGGAAGATCATATTACACCAAAGCCTGCAACAGAATATTTGCCAAAAGATTTACCACAAAATGAGATATTAAATGAAGATCAGAATGGTAAAGGAAGTAATAATACTGGATTTAATACTACAGAGGTTTCAACGAATCCAAAAGAGCTTACAGCTGAGAGATCGGAATTGCGTAGAGAATATGAAACCGCTACAAAAATGAAAACTAACAAAGATAATGAAAGTGTTGAAAAAGAGGATTGTTCAGAGAAATCCAGCATACAAGAAAATAAAAGTGAATCGGGAGAAAAATTGAGAAATACGCAAGAAACTAAGGAAGAAGAAAAATGTAAACAAGCAGACGAAGAATCTCAATTAAAAAATCACGATACAGATGATCATGATGATTATTTATTGTACTTGGAAGATATTTTAAAAAGAATACACTCGGAATTTTATGCAGAAAACGAAAATGAAAATGTGAGAACAAAAACTCTCAGAGAAATCATCCCAAAAGTTAGATCTCGCGTTTTGCAAGGACTTTATTTAACATTTAGTGGTCTTGTTCCAAATAATCAAAAACTTCATCAAAGTCGTGCTTACAAGGTTGCAAGAATATTTGGCGCTCAAGTTACTCAGGTATTATCATTACTAACTATATAAAATGAGATTGCAACTATACCTATAGGTATGACGTGCAATATTTTTGCAGGATCTTAACGAAAAAACGACGCATTTGGTGGCTATTCAACCAGGTACGTTAAAAGTAAGAGATGCAAAGAAACAGGGACGAGTTAAAATCGTAAATCCAGATTGGTTGTGGACTTGTGCAGAAAGATGGGAACATGTCGATGAACGCTTGTACCCTCTAAAAGAAGTACCTTTACATAAAGTAAGTATTAAACTTTTTTTTTTTTTTTTTTTAATGCCAATTAGAAAGATACAGGCACACTGTCAAGACTGAATAATTGTAGGCTCGCGAATTCAGAAAGCCACCACCGCACTGCAGTACACCTGAACATGTAGAGGAGTCCGATCCTAAGACAGAAGGAAATTTTGCCAGTAGCATCAATCCTTTGATGGTGTTTAGTAAGGAGGAAATCGCAACGATGGGCCGAGAAGTCGATGAGGATATGTCGGATTTGGAGGACGACGATGATTTTGGAAGTGAATCAGAAAGTAATACCCAGGAAAGCAGTCAAAAACGTCCATACGGCTCTGATAACGACTCTGACTCAAACAACGATGTGTATGGCTGTAAGTGAAACAAGTACTTGCTGATTATCACTCATTGACACACTTTTTACCGACTTGCAGACACACCAAATGAGCCGAAAAGGCGTCGAAACGAGAGCGACAATGAAAGCAATGTCAGTAGTGACGAAGAGAGAGGCCGGAAATGTAAAAAACGCTGTCTAAACGAGGATGACGATGACGATGAGGAAGATGATCCGGTGACACGTTTCCGGCGGGGGGAAGATGTATCGGACGATGTTGATTACGGAGATAACTCTCAAGATTCCGTTTGCGATCTTGAAGCCGACGACATGGAAGAAGAACGCGAGTGGAATGCTATGGGCGCAGCTCTCGAGAGAGAATTTCTCTCCAATTGAATCCTTGTTGGAGGCTGTTTGTTGCTGTTGTAATGTTTGAAAGGAAGAGAACCTTGTATAATTTAAATCACGAAAGTGAAAGTACTATATCTTTTTTATGAGAAGTGGAGTGCATTATACTTAAAGATGACAAAGTCTATTGTTAAGTACAAGTAAAATAAAAATAGTAAACCAAGCAATTTCCATTCTCAAATTATTAAAAGGTTTTTCATGCAGTAAATGACTAATTTATCCTCAGGTATTAATTTTAATTAAAATATACTGTGAGATACAAAATAATTGTATGCATTTAAAAAAACTAAACTTGTAAGCTTACTTACAGTACGATTTGGTTTTTCAATGGAAAAGGGCTATTTTTTTGTTTAATGTGTTGTATATTGCGCTCACTTAAAATGTTAAACTTAATTTAAAATACGTTCGAAAATGTTATTTAGTAGAAAGCGCTTTATTCAAGTACAATGTATCTTTACTCTTCAAATGCCATAAGGTTGTGGCTTGTTGGGATCTTCATAATATTTTCTGTAAGATGGCTTATGTGTGAAATCTTTTTTATCTTCCAGAGATCCTCTAGAGGGTGCTTTGTTATAGTCAAAACCAGTTTCAGTTTTTCCATACATTTCATTGACTTCACATATATTATCCCTGTACTTACTACCTGCCACTTTTTTACCTGTGATAGGGTCTACAAAGTTTCCTGTGGGAAAAAGAATTTCAACGACCTGAAAACGATGCAACGATCAATGTTTATTATGAATTTTTATGGTATCTGATATTTTTCAATTAACAAAAGTTGCTAAAACCTTGTGAGTAATCAATCTTGTCATTTTTTCTGGTAGAACTTCGATTAAAATCAGATCGCCAGTCTTACATGTTTTATCTGGATCATGTGCATAGCAGAAGTCAAGCCTTCTAAAATGCTAAAAAAGCGAAACTAAATTATTTTAAAGTTAAAGGTAGGTAGATGTAGACTTAAGAAACGTATTGAGATGAAAGGAAATAGGACATACCATGTGCAAATTTTCATCGTACTCAAAATTTGGAATTTGTACTTTAACTGCATTTGTTTTCCAAGATGGTATGCACTTCCCAATTATATATTTTGCTGCTTGCTTGACACCCGCGACACCCGGTGTTGTTGCCATCTTACGACTAAGTATATATATACGTGTGTTAGGTATATTATAGTTTCATCCAACTTCAATTCGATTTGACGAGCAGTGTCGTCTGCAAACTTGCATCGCTGCAGCAGCAGTGTTGTCGGTCGTATATATACTTACACATAAGGTACGTTTGTATAGTAAATGACGACTTTTTTTTGGCTCAATTCCATTTATGTATATGGTCGCCATTAGGGCGAAACCACACGCAATGGAATGAGCCTGGCGAATGACGAATAAAGAAGTGCTATTCGTCGATTCTCTCATTCACCTGATTAGTCGATCCCATTCGTCTTTCACCAGTCTCACGCTTGCGTATGATTTCGGTCTTACCTCTATTAACTACCTAGTATATAAAACTTTCGAGGATTTCTCGTTCCAACTGCACCACTCGCTGGTTCCGCACGGGATGGTCTGCGATTCCGGGCGAATCGTTACTGAGAACCATCATGCGAGTCGATCTTGTTTATGCTCAAAATGTTTAAAATCATGTTAAAATTGCATGCTTGCATTAATATTTTATTGTATGGATTTTAAGACGATATTTTTTTAAAAATATTTATTTGGCATCATAAAAAAATCTAGTTAAATAAAAAATAATAATCAACGTGTATAAAATTGTACAATTCTTTCAGAATCAGTATTATGAAAAAACAAATGTCATTTACATACATTTGTAAGTTTTTATAAAAGTATTTTTTTTTCTACTAGTAATTCGTATCATTCAACTTTATAAAAACTTCATCATTTACAAAATTTTAATTTCATACTTGTATATAATACAAGTTTAAGCAGTTTAATATGGTTTTATCCTATGATTTTTGTCATTGCGACTCTTTTCGGCTCCTGTTTTTGCTGGGCGTTTATTGTTAGTATTTTTTGGAACTGAAAGCGATTCTGTTTGCCTCCAAATATTGATAATTCCGGCTTCACCACCCGTGACTAAGCAGCCACTCTGAAAACGATGTAGCATTTAATAAAAGTAAAATAACTAATTTTAAAGGTGACAATTACAAATTGATAAACCTTTTCATGTAACCAGCTGTCTCTAACAAGTTGTTTATTTCCTGAGAAATCATAATATGGTTCTAAACAGTTTTTTCCTAAACTTAGGCATTTTAAGTCATCTCTGAAAAAAGAATCAGGTATTAGTACAAAAGTATGAAATTTTTTTAATCGTTTTTGCTATTGAAACTTTTAATTTTGATAAGTAACAATCATATATTATACTTTTTATTATTATTTCACTTTACCCTTTAGGCGAGCTCAAACCAGCAATTAAGTAAGGATTTCCAAATGTACTATGAGCATGTATTCTGACGAAATAGTAACTCTCTGGATCATCCTTCTGTAATAAAAAATACAATTTAATTCAGTGGTAGTTTGATGTAAATTAAATTGAAAAACTAAACAAAATGAATACCGGAGACAAACAAAGATGACTTCTTTCAAATTTATTGTATGGAGTAGCATCCTCACAATTCCAGAGTTGAATAGTATGAGTATGAGTAATACACCATAAATTTTCATTTGTAAGCCAGCCTATTCGATCCTTTAGAAATACATAAAAAATTAAAACATATTTTTTTATAGACAAATTTGTTCATTAAACGGATAAACGTAAAAAAAACTTACAACTGAAGATTCTGTATTTAAGGAATACGTAAGAGCAGAATCTTCACAAGTCTGGGTGAGGTCAAAAACATTTATCAGACCATCTGTACTACCTGATGCAAGAATGTCTTTTTTATTCCAGTGAAAGGATAAAGATGTAATGTCATCCATATGCGACTCCCAATATCCACCAAGTAAACTATTTTTTGCATTAACTTTTGAGTTGCTATACCTGACATCCCAAAACAATATAAAAGCATCTCCACCAATGTGTTCTGTACCACCTGCGACGAGCCTTTCATCACAGCTAATATCAAAGCTAGCAAGCGGTTTTAGCTTACCATCTTCTGTATTGTCTGTTAGAAAAAAAAAAAAAAAACAAAGAAGCACAAGCATAAAATTTATAGCGCAAATAATAGATTGAGAAAGTTATATATACTTAGAAGTAATAAACAATTGATGGAAAGATAAATATGTATCAAACCTTTGAATTGGGCAATGACTTTTCCTTTGGCCCTGAGGTCGCAGACAGAAACGGTGCCATCACTGGAGGCAATGTAAACGATGTGTCGCGAACTCGGACTAAACTTAATTCCTACAACAGATGATTGGTTGTGTTCGAGGCTCATCAGCTTTCTGAACTGCTCACCGGCCGAGTATATCACGCACGTGTGATCCGCCAAAGCTGCTCCTATTTTGAATTCATCATCGCTGTAAGGAGTGAACGACAGTGTTAGCAAGTGATGACGAAGGCAAGGCAACAGAAAAGTAAATCAAGCAAGTAATGATTAACCGGTGTACATATACGTACCTTTGAGTGCCACAAAGAGCAAGTACGTAATTTTGCTCATCCAAGGAGACTCTTTCCTCAACAGTTGGAACGAATTCGGCCTTGTAGTTGAAGCTGCTCAGCTGGGATGACACGCCATTCTCTACGCTTAGTTTTTTGAGGGACTCCACAATTTTGGCCATGGCTCAGTTCAGCAAGCCAGAAGCTGCTGCTTCGTAAGTAGCCTGCACACGATCTCCTTGTATTCGATAACGTGTCCAAGTACCTACTTATAATAAATCGAGTTTATGGCCCTGCCGCACAAGTCAAGCACACGACAACTTTATTAGCCACTGCTATTATTTAGAGCAACACACCGGTTAATAATTATTGGATTTGACAAATATCATTGCTTATTATGTGCGAGTTTTGCAGATTGCATAGTACGCATCGCACGCATGTATAACTATATATACACCTTTTCAAACTGTATACAACAATAGATTTGTTCGGCTGCACTATGCATAGTAATCCAGAAAGGATTCCAGAGTCCTTTGGTCCCTTCAGTTCCCTCTCGTTCTCGTACGTTAATCTCGGGTCTCGGGAGCTATTCACATAGACATTTTTTGCCCCTCCTATTTCATTGTAAACATTTCATTGAAAAGGGGGTTCCACTGTTCCGCTACACTCAAATTGAGTGAACAGACTGAACAGACCTATATCTCTTTTTCCATCAGGCAACAAAATTCCAACCCTGCTATATATAGTCGCAACTATGTAATGCGTCCCAATGAGTTTTCGACTCCGTCCTATCAAGAACATGGTTACCTATTCAAACGTTCCCGGGAAGTAACCGCGCGAGTTATCATGTTATCAACAATATGGCGCCTGCGGTGATTCTCAATACGAATACGGTTCGAGATTAATGGTCACATGCATACCAAAACTTGACAAAAATCAAAAATGTAACTAATGTGCCCCGCGTTGGTTGTGTGACAATTAATCTCGAACCGTATTACGTTATTATTGCGCTGACAGTAGATTTGTTGAACGCCGAATGAAAACGTTGAGAGAGGATTCCTCGAGAGGATCTCAGAGAGGAAAGGAAAGGAGAACAAAAGGAGCATATTAAAAAACGGGCTTTTTTGTGTTTGTATTGTTTAATTGTTATTGCATCCTAATACAACTGTAACACATCACTGTTAAACCGTTAATTGCGTATGTACTATTATTTACGCATCAAAGTTGATTGAACTCTCTCTCCTTGGCTTGCCGGTTTGTCATTTTATTATTATTCGTAAGTAGATCAATTTAAATTCTATCTATTTTTTCTAACACGCTCAAAATCTACAGTTGGCAATTAAGTTTTGCTTTGCACTTGGGCTGTTGGTTGGACAGTCGCAGACGTTATATATCTTATTATCAGAGTATTTAAATTGACATGACAGTTGACAGACATTACTATACCTAAACACCTATAATATAGCAGTTCATTTCACGCGCACCAATAGCGCACGTTTTCGTTGTTGTGTCATCTATATCTATAACTTTCGTGTGATTACACAAATAGACGTGCCGGACGAGCGTTAAATCTTTGCCGTAATCTTTTTATATCATCATTTTTGTCGATGGATCTACAACTACTGTTGTATACCCTGTCATCAATACTACACGGAATACTCATTTTATCAATGACAACATCGAAATGTCTATAAATAGACGCAGGTGGTCCAACACTTTTCTACAATCAATGAGAGAATTTTTGAGTGAGTTTCAATGACCAATTCCAAATTTTCATGAGATTTTTATGTGCATGGTGATTACCTTTAATATCCCGTTCTTTGTAATAGTATAGAATTATGACCAATCCGTTGCAACATATATAACCTTCAAATTCTGAACAATATAGATTTATTGATTCACGAGTTTTTCATTTTCGTAATTTAGGTAGAGAAGAAGGAGAAACTGAAGTCGATCTTTGCAAAAATAACGAGAAAACAATGTCGGCTAATACATCAAGTGATACACATTACACTGATGTTACTTCAACCTTTAATTCGCCCAACAATTTAAATTCTTTTAGTTTAAGTGATAATAAAGAAGACTTTTCTTTAGCCTTCAGTAATTTTGATGATATCTTAGTAAAAAATGAACCCTTGACAAACATGGATTTAAATTTGGTTGAGAGCTGCAGTGATAGCACAAATTCTGACTATTTAAGTGTAGTTATGTCTAATTCTGATACTCAAACCAATAGCATCACTTTAATGGATAAAAATATTTCTTGCGAACCATCATTTTGTGAAAATCATACCCAACTGATAGAGACATCACAGTTGAGTCATAAAGTTGAAGATATACATGATTTGAATTCCCAAGCCATTGCAACATCTTGTAATGCAAAATTACAAACTACCGAAATGAAGAAGGTTAAAAGTCAACTGAATCAAAGTATTGAGACAATGTTTAATGGTAAGATCTTTTTTAATGACTACCGTTACTTGAATGTTTAATTTGACTATTTATAATTTTTAAGTAATAATACCTTTCTGTGTTTCTTTTTTTTTAGATAACTTAAACTATCAAAATTACTTTTCATCCCCAGAACTTCAGATCAATAATATTAACCATCCCGATGTTTGGGATGCATTAATAGCACTGGAACAAGAACTATCTCCATTTGATGAGCGTGACAAGACATTACAAGAACAAGACATTCCTCGTATACTAAGTCGACTTTCTCAAAAGTTTAAAGAAACTCCTACAAAGTTTACTGAAAAACTAGTCTCCATTATTGAAGATTCGATTGTGGCATCAGAATCACCAATCCGACATAGTACAACCGATACATCTGGTATTAGTTTAAGCAGGATGACAGGTGAATTCCGTAAGTTGTGTAAATTTATTGAAGATGAATCAATGCCAGAGTGGGCTCCATCCTTAATAAATGCGACTACATTGGGTTTTGATAAGCATAAATCTCCAGATAAGAAGTCTGATGAAAACAAAGAGATTGCTCTAAAAAATGTATTGAATCGAATGAGCTCTGCTTCTGCTCTAAATCAAAACACAGCATGCAAGTTACTTGATAGTTTAAACACACCAAAAAACAAACTAATGTCAAACGTATATTCGCCGATAAAGAAATTCTCACCAAGTGCAGATAAGTCGTTTGAATACTGGGAAAAAGTCTGTGATATGATGTGTGACAGCCAAATTAATGATACTAAAAGAATCAGAAGAAGTCTTTCAGTTCCAGAATCAACAAAAAAAAGTATGACTGAAATGTTAACGATTTGCGAGCGTCAAATGGCTTCCCTGGACGACAGTATCATTGATGTCAGAAATTCGGATCCCTGTAACAAGTTGGACAATAATTTGAACTTTATACAAGCACCAAGATCTAAATCAGAGTGTAGACTCTCGGTTAATCTCAATGTTGCAAAAAAACAAATACTTGATGAGAAATTCCACAAGTTAGAGTTCAAGGAAATATTGACTGCAAATAACAATCCGAAAACAAATCTGAATCATAACTATTTTGAGTCACCAGAAAAGAACGTTGAGTTGATGGAAAATATGAAAAAAGATTGTCACAATTTCCTCAATACTAGTCAATCATGCGAATATAGAGAGAATGACGCTACTAATGATGAGGATCAAGATTGCTCTTTTCTGATTGAATTGGCCAAAAGACGGCAGAGGTGTTTAGATACTGCAAAACTAATGATGGAAATAGATCAAGAAGATCCAAGCCCGAGCAGTGACAACAAGTGTCTGGAAACATTGTATAAATTAGGCGTGCAAGATAAAACTTTAATCGACAACAAAGAAGATGCAACCTTTTTAAATACATTGGGACACTGCTTTGAGTACAAGAAATACTTCCGTGACAAAAGTGAGCCACTTTTGAAAGTTTTGCAAAACATTTGTTCTCCTAAAGCGACTACAGTAGAGCCGAGAAAATTGTCAAGCCACCTGAAACCCCGTACTCCAGCTCCAAACAATTTTTATCAACAACAGCAGCAGCCAGTTTCAGCCAAAATAAAAAGCACGCTACACTCAGAGTCGAAATGCCGCTCTACAAGTTTGCACGATATTGCAAAAACTCCTAGGCTTGCACCAAAAGCCCTTTCGAAAACTTCACAAAAGTTAAATAGCACACCCTCGCTTAAGAGAACACCGTGTATTGAAAAAAAAACCCTACCTTTGTCAAACTCGCAACAAGTGAGCAAACCAATAGCTGGTAAGAAGATTCTTTCAAGGTTAGCACCCAAGCAACAGCAGCAAAATTCACAAACAGTTAAAAACAATTCTTTGAAGCAGCAGCATGTTCCATGTAAAAAAGTTAAAGCTCCGTTGGTAAAATCTTCTCGGATGGACCAAAAAGCAATCAATTTGCAACCTGCAGAAAACTGTAGCTCAAAAATTTTAGTCAACAAACCAATCAAATTAGGTGATGAGCAAGTTGTGCTAAAAACAACGAATACAAAAACTCCGGTCCCTACCTTGCAAGAACAACAGCAGCAACACGCTCAGTACAAAAAAGTTAAGACTCCACTAGAAAAGACGCCCAGATTGGATAAAAAAGTCATTGACGTGAAAACTACAGAAAAGTTGAGCCCAAAAATTTTAGTCGATAAAGCAATCGAGCAGTTAGGCAATAAACAAGTTGCATCAAAAACGCCAAAGGATACGCAGTTTATGAAAACTCCGGTCAGTACCAACGACAAAAATGACATGGAGACAGGCTGTCCAAATAACCTGTTGGTGTGTTCAACTCAAGAGTTGCCGCTCAAGCCACGTTATTTCTTAACTCCTGGCAAAACTCCGACTAGTTCTGTTCTACCCAGAAAAAAGCCAAAAAAGCCGTACTTCTCGGATTTTACCATAGATAAGCCAGTTGCACTAAATTCTTGCTACGACGGTATCAAGTCACCAATCAACATGTATATTCATGGTATGGATAGCGATTTAATACAGAATGTCAAGGGCCGAACCGAGGACTTGCTACTCACACCTATATCAAATCAAGATAATGGCAAAAGTCCCAGGCTTAGGATGAAGTTATCGCCATCAAAAGAAAACAAGGTAAAAAATAATTATTTGGATTTAAAAAAAAAAAAAAAAAAAAACAATTTTCAATTTAGTAATGGTGAGATTTTTTTTTCTTCGACAGTCCCCCTTCACTTATTCTGATGAGAACAAAATATCAACAATACGATACCAATCGGCCGATAAAGTTCGTTTGGTAAGTAAAACAATGGTTTTACTATAGCAGATGGAATACCCACCTAAATCATTCGGTAAATATTTTATTTTAGATCGACGACAAGTTGTCATATTCACCTTGTTCATTAACACCAAATTCAAGAACAAAAAAGTTGCTAGAACCTATCGAAAATACAGTTGTCATTCGACACGAAGGTAATCACAAACAATATTTAATTGCATTATTAACAATAATTTGAATTGAGGTACGTGTATTTTCATTGATTCTTACTTTTTATCAGGGCGTGTTATTGAATACAACCGTACATCAGATCAATCAAACTCAGAAACTTCAATAAGAGTTCAAAAGATGGCTGAAAAAACACCAACTAAACATACAAAGTGTACATAAAGTTATGTAAATCAAAACTTTTTGAGTATTGTGTTACTTGTAAAAGATTAAAAGATTAACATTTACTCGATAGATAATAACGTTATAAGAACGAAACACTTAACAATTTTATATTAAACTTTTTTACTGTATAGTATTTACAACGAAGTGTTTTAATATTACATTACATGACAGCCAACATTATTTATAACATTCTTTTTTATTGTACGTAATAAAGGCTACTATACTACTTCAAAATTAAAACGTCATCATTGCATTCCTCAGTATCCTACTTGATTACATCATTGAAATCAGTTTTAAAAATGAAGCAAAATATACGGTACCAAAAAAAAAAGTAAAGAGAAACTAAGTACTTTGAGTTTTTGTCGATCGTGAAACGCGTATAACGTCCTCAATATAACGCTTCATTGATTAATTGGCCTTGCAATTCATATTTAGAGAAAAAGAAAAAAGTTTTTATTTCTATGAAATATTTCAAGTGGGTAGATCAAAGCTCTCCAACTTATAAATTATAATTACTCGGGGAATGTGATTGTGGATTGATAAGTCTTAATTTTTGGAGAGATTAAAGGAAACCATAGCTCGGACGGTTTTTCAATTTACTTGAATGTCACGATGGAGGAGGAGATGAAATAATATAATAAAAAAGCAATGTGCGCATTGTGCAGAAATAAGAACAAAGAAATCGTTGGCTCAGCAATCTGGCCTCGGGAACACTGGAGAGAGAGAGAGAGCGCTGAGCTATGCGGAGAGGAAGGGATCGATAAATTGAGGAGCCGCCGCCCACAGTGTCGCAGAGAGTAAGTAGAGGTGCAAGTTGTCGCTTAAGTAACACATCGTGAGTAATAGGACTCAAGAAAGAGGTTTAATAAAAGTTAACATGCCTGGACCGAACTGTGACGATTGTAAAGGTAATTTACGAGTTGTATATTCCCACTCACCCATTAATCATACATAAAATATATTATCGAGAATCACCATGAACACAAAAGATTTTTTGGTTCAATTTTTAATACGATTGCACTAACATACCAAAATTTTTATTTACTTTTTAAATGTTTAATAAAGTTAACAATATTGAAATATATCAATTTTGCAATGTTGCATTATAGCTGCTAATCTGTATACCTGTATAATAATACGTGTTCTATTATTTGATGTAATTAGATGTTTATTTATCAATATAAGTAAATAGATGAATATTGTAAGACTGATATCTGACGAGTATTGAATGATTTTTTTTTCTTTAGTGATATTTGCATTTTGATTACTTCATTAAAGACTAAAACTACAACATCATTAAAGAATGATGTACTTATGAAAAAAGTTAACCGTGAATTAGCAATGATCAACAAAATTTTTGATCCATTAATTTGTAATATTCAATATTCTTAATGGATTTGGTTGTAATGAAGGAAAAACATTTGTAAGATTACATTTTGCTGTAATGATTATTTTTATCGTATACTTTTGTACATCAATAATTATATAGCCTTTTGGAACTTGAGAAAATATACATTTTCTCAGTAAAAATGCAATAAAAATAAAATATTTCGATACTGATTAGGAAAACTTACGATTTTATTGCAAATTAGCAATTTTTTTTTTAAATTGTCACAGCTGACAGCTTTTTCTCGTTAAAAAAGATTTTGCGGTTTGACAAACTAACAGACACATTCTAAACATCAATGTTTGTTTTTAAATTAATCATAATTAATAATAAAATAGTTGTAGGCAAAATATTTTCCACAATTTGAGCTATTGTTAGAACCTCCTTAATCCGCCATGTAGGTAAACATGTTTTTTTTTCATAATAATATCAGCGTATACACTTAACTAAGTATATATATATATATATATATATATATATGTGTGTGTGTGTGTGTGTATTTTTTTTTTATGTAAGTATAGTAAAACAAAAAAATTTTGGCTTGCAGTCTTTTGTGAATATTGGCAGAACACTTATCATCGAAAATCATTTAATTTTTAACGATCGAAACTGTGTTGTGTTGGAGATAATTAAACTGGTAAACTCCAATAATTTGTATTGCTTGTACAGTTTTTCGTATAGACTTATATGAAAGTCAGGATTACATGACGTATTGTAAATAATTATATAACTTTACAAATTTTTCGTTACAGATAAATGTCAAGGCTGCAATTGCGGTGACAATTGCAAATGCAGCCAAGGAGGATGTGGAGGTAAATATACAATAAATTCATTATACTTTTTATCATTTTAAAACTGCTTAAAACTAACTTTTACCACGTTAATTATGCAGTCAGATGGATTAGATAGTTGTTTCATACCATCTCCTCATTAGGTACTACATTATCAACTGTGTGCTGATATGACTAACGCTATGGATAAATTTAAATCAGGATTCCCTAAAATAAAAAAAATAAAAAAATTTTTGAGTGCATGATTCTTTGTAACTTAGCTCATTCATATATGTGGGGAAAATTTGTCATTACTGAATAAGTACTGGAGACCAGTCCTAAGAACCATTTTTTTCCTTCAAAATTTTCACTAAAATATCTGTTCACAAATATAGGAATGAAAATTCTCTGTCTCTTTATGTAAGGGAAATCCTCTCTCGTTACTAACATAGTAATAAAAAAATTCACTCGTTTGCGAAAAAAATTGATATTACCATAAAATAATTTTTCTCTAGATTGCTAGAGAATATAAACTTGTATGCCAAGTGATTAGGCATATATTTTTTCAAGTTAAAAAGAAAAATGTCACACTTTATCTTATTTTTAGTTAAATTTCACATATTTTCTAAAATAATGCAGAAGATGAAAACCTTTGTTTTAATGAAAAAACAATTTTTCTATAATGCTTGGGTTTCTTGAATAAAATATTCCATGGAAATGCTCATACTTGTATATTTCATTAGATGTGCGAACACGAATTCGTTTGAGTTAATTTTACTTGATAATCATTCAATAAACAGTTGAGTATATATTATATTGAATGAATTTTATTGTGTGTAAGAAATATTAATAATATGTATATTTAATGCAAACGACAGTGTTGTTTCCACACGTGTAATAATTAATGCGTACACATAACAAACTCTTTTTAGTTTTGTCGTACAAATTAAGTACTCAACTGGGTATAATGTTGATAGCAAAATTTTGTAAAAATAAGATTTAAAAAAAATATATGAAAAAATAATTTTGTTTAATTTTTTGTATTTTTTAGACAAATGTAACTGTAAATCAGGATCAAAGTGTAAGTAATAACCAAATAAATTAAGTACATGAATCAATCTATCAATGGCTGCACCAACTGCAACAAATTGAAACCGAAATTCAACTGCACCACTACAAAATGAAGTATTTTTATTTAAATAATTAATTAACATGCATGTAAAAAATAAATAAAATTTTGTTTGAAACTTGGCTAATAAAGATGCAATCGAAAAACAATTAAGACAAATATTTGTTCCTCTCCATTTATTTTGTATTGGCACCGAGCACCTACCCCATATATATATACATATACCTACACACCTAAACTTGACAGCAAAATTAACCAATAACTATGCAATACTTAACCACAGCGCCCTCATTAAAAAGTACCCTCTCAAATTCTGACAGACATAGGTACTTATCAGACGCGGGGGGGGGGGGGGGGGTGACGCGACCACATGCGTAATTGCGTATACGTTCGCGGCCTTACGCAAACAAAATCTGTGTCCAGCATATATCTAAGTACCACAACATGGAAATATAAAAAATTCCAATTCAAGTCAATACCGACTAAGCTGTTCTACTACCTGGGGTAATATTGCGATTTTTTTTTTTTTTCATGAGCCTATATTTACTTAACATGAGACTGAAAAAATGATAAGTACGATCATACAGCTCTGCAGGAGCTTCTATAATTTTAACTAAGGTTGTACAATTGTACGTTACAGATTACAGCACACGAAAATGCCATACTTAAGCTGTTGTTGTACATTAGGTGAATGACTTTGATCAGAAAAATCTTTTTTCATATTTTTGCTAGAAATTAACTGTAGGTACACACATACGTGCAAGCATACAATTCACAGTTGTGAAGTGAGTACATATTATATTATGCACGCTGTCCAAGTGTCGAATGTTGTAAAAAAAAAGAACGTACACTAACGACACCTTATATTATAAGTAGGTGTACCGGTGTACGTACTGTACCTACGTATACCAAATTATGGAAAAAATAGAATGTACCTACTTACATGGACGAACTCAGTTACACGTAGACGGTATACTGAGTTAGAGTTACTGACTACTGACGGTAGTGGTAGTAGTGGTAGTACTATACGTAGTACGGACAGTACGCTAGTACGCAGTAGTCAGTAGTCAGTACGGTAGTACGGTATAGTAGTGTAGTGGTACGGTACAAATACACACACGGATGCATCATATGCTTCCCTGCCTAGCGCTGCACCCTGCACCTATATAGCTCGATTCGATTTGATCGAGCCTGCTGCTGCGGCATTGACAGTGCGCGAGAGTGTGAGGAGTGTGTTATTCACCTTCCTTGTGATGATTATTAGGAATACTACCTGTACTTACTTTTTTAAGTATCATACTTAGGCCCATTTTCAATCTACCTTAAGCGCTATCGCGTTTAGTCAGATTTTAAAGTAACACATTGGGAATTAATTATCTATATATACCTATACATACGTATACTTGTGTTTGTATTTGTACTACTGTACATAGACTACATAGCTCAATAAGACCATGGTTGCAAGACTTGCAAGAACTTCTTCTTAAATACTAGTCCTTGCGGTGTAAACACAGATGGTAGAAAAACAAGGATCTACAAGGAGCCCAATGAGATGCTGCTGAAATTCTGAAGATAGATGCAGGTATTCGTAATAATTTTATCATTATAATTGCCTCTTGTCTTGGTTATATTTATTTGCAAAATGTATTCTGATGCAAACATTACCTGCTCACCCCCTCATTAACGAGATTAACAATTTCGTATAAATGACTTGAAACAAATTTCTCATCATGACGGCTTGCACAATAGGCACAGTATGGGTGTCAATTATTACACATACATTATTATTATACTTATTTCAAAGAGACATTAAATGGGGGTCAGTAAGGCATGCATATATGCGCAGGAAATCGAAAACTATACCGTTATAATATAGCTTTACTAAAAGCATACAAAACAATGCTTAAATCGTTTTATGAATGACTGTTTATTCATATGATACTACTTTTGATCAGCAGATGTGCAACCAGCATGTCCGGGAGTTGTGTCCAAGAAGAAGAGGAAGAGGAGGGAGAAACGTGCGAGGAGCCAGAGCCAGGGCGCAGCCAGCACTATTCTCTCTATGTCTTCCCGAGCCAGCAAGGTCAGCCCGGTCTAGCAACGGTAGCAACCGCATCTGTAGCCATGGATTCTTCAGCGACAGCTGCGTCAACCAGCAGAGGACACGCGCGCTCCGTGAGCCACGGGGGTGTCGCAAGTATGGGAGTCCCCCAAGCTCGGCCGGCTCCAGCTGGTCGAGCCTCGGCTCTCAAGAAGCCCGGCCACAAACGTGCCTTCAGCCAAGGCCAGCTACTGGACATGCAGCCACAGCAGCCTGGCATAGCTGGCCAGCAGCACAGCAGGGTCGGTTCCAAGACGGATTTTATTCTACCACCCAGCCACCGCGAGGACCCGCCGAGACTGTTAGCCGACAAGATGCCGTCTTTTCGCGGACACTCCAGGCAAGCCTCCAGATCCGAGTCCATCTACACGATACGACGTAGCGCGGCCCCCCCGTGGTGGCGGCGAGCCTGGGCTCGTTGGTGCGGCTCGACACCCGAGGAACCACTCGTCCGTACAATTACGCCCAGTCACCTCTCGTTCCCACCTCACGCTGACGCTCCCGCGCGCATTCGTTCCACCGGTGTTGGTGTCGTCGTTGGCGCCAGAGACAACAGGTATGGTATATATATACACATATACATATTTCAACTCAAGATATTCTTTTCGATCCAGCTTACGATGCGTTTGTTACTTTTTCGGTACGCCCAGGATACGTACGACTAAGTATAGCGCGCTGAGCTTTCTGCCGCGCAACTTGCTTGAACAGTTCCGTAGGGTGGCCAATCTTTACTTCATCTTCATAGTTCTACTGAATTGGGTGCCAGCGATAAATGCCTTTGGCAAAGAGATTGCAATGATTCCTGTTGTTTTCGTACTCGGAGTTACGGCTCTCAAGGACTTTTTTGAAGACCGGCGTAGATTAGCCAGTGACAGACGCGTCAACAACTCCACGTGTCGTGTATACACTAGGTATGTTTATACATATTATGATGCTTCATCACCACGGCAATGGTTTCTGTATTGACAACGTCATCAAATGATGCTTTTAGCGAAGGAGATAGGTATGTCAAAACAGCTTGGAAGGACGTCAAAGTTGGAGATTTTATTCATTTATCAAATAACGAGCCCTTGCCCGCTGATCTTTTGCTTCTACGTAGCAGTGATCCACACGGATTTGCTTTTATTGATACTTGCAATTTGGATGGCGAAACGAACTTGAAACAACGTCAGGTTGTCAGAGGTTTCTCAAACCTGCAAGAAACGTTTCAGCCTTCAAAATTTCGCTCAGTCATAGAAGTTGATAAGCCAAGCACCAAGATTTATAGGTAGATGTGAGGATTACGGTTTTTCACTAATACATACAAATAAGAAAAAATTTTTTTTTCCCTTTCGGATCCAGGTTTCACGGAGCTGTTGTTCATCCTGATGGAACTCGTGTGCCAGTTTCCACAGAAAATCTTTTATTGAGGGAGTGTTATTTAAAAAATACAGATTTCATCGAAGGTATCGTAATTTACGTTGGCCACGAAACTAAAGCAATGCTCAACAATGGTGGTCCTAGGTATAAGGTAAGCGCTCAGCAATAATCGCATTAACTAATTTACGTAATTAATAATGCCTTCTTTCAGCGATCACGATTAGAACAGCAGATGAACATAGATGTAGTATGGTGCGTGGTTATTTTAATCATTCTCTGCATCGTTGGAGCAGTTGGCTGTAAATTCTGGCTATCGGCTTACGCATCTGTGCCGGCGCCATTTTTACCTATAGTACAAGATGCCTCTTACGAAGGCATGCTTACTTTTTGGACGTTTGTTATAATTCTTCAAGTTATGATTCCACTTAGTCTTTACGTGACTATTGAAATGGCAAAACTAGGTCAGGTTTATCATATTATGTGCGACAGAGAACTTTACGACGAGGAAACTGATCGCACGGCTGAATGTCGTGCCCTTAATATCACTGAGGAATTGGGTCAAGTGAGACGAAACAATTTTATCATCTGGTCTCATGCTAATCGTAAAAAAAGATCAAACTAAAATTTTGGATATTTTTTGTTACTAAAAATAGGTACAGTACATATTTTCTGATAAAACGGGAACATTAACGGAAAACAAAATGTTATTTCGGAGATGTGCCGTGGGTGGACAAGATTACATACATACTGGCGATGGTGAAAATCTTGTTCCTTGTACAAGATTAAAAGAGGATTTACTCATAGGTACTTACAGGCATAAACTTCAGGAGTTTCTTATTCTATTGGCGATTTGTAATACCGTCGTCGTAAATTATCATCCTCATCACGACAACATGAATTCAAGTGGTGTCATCGAAGATCCTCAACCGAGTAATGCCAACCCTAAAGGGTAATTACTTGTGTATTTTTCGATTACTTCGATAATTATTGCATTTTTTCATAATTTCTCTTTAAATTTACTCACTGTTGTCACTTTATATTGACATTATTATTTTTTTAATTAGATACATAAGGTTCACGGAATCAAAAAGTGCAACTCCAGCAACTCGTGAAACGATATCTAATACCATACCACTTGTTTCAACTTCACAAGCTGCTGATTCTCAAGATAATTTCCCGACAGTTTCTACAGTAGAAAACTTGAAATCTGATGACACGCCAATTTTACGTAACAAAACTTCTAGGTAAAAATTTACTTGTAGCATGAGAAATAAAAGTCACGCATGGTTATTAATTAATTGTGACCATGGTTATTTCTGTAATTTACTTTTTGCAGGCCGAGACTATTGAATTTGTCGTCAATACCTAGCTTGGGAATGCTGACGAGAAAATTGTCTCCTTTGGGACTCAAAAATAATTTTGGTTTTCCGTCTGAAAAGAATGGAAAATCTCCATCAATGGTTCCCAGCACACCAGCGATATATGAAGCTGAGAGCCCTGACGAGTTGGCGCTCGTCAATACGGCTAGAGCTTACAACGTTAGACTGATGCGCAGAACTGCTCAAGACGTAACCATTTCACTGCCTGATAAGTCCAGTCTCACATTTGAGGTGCTAAAGGTAAAGAAAAAAAAAAAAAAAAAAAAAGTCAACGCGTACCAAGTACTGTCGTATGCGGGTTTTCAGGTGCTACCGTTCGATTCAAATCGCAAGTGCATGTCCATCGTGGTAAGGCAACCCCACACAGGTGAGATAGTTTTGTACAGCAAGGGCGCCGATTCGACCATTCTGGGATCCTTGAGCCCCACCGAGGAGGATTCACCGATGACAGCCCGCGTAAAGCAGCAGGTTGCCGCGTACGCCAAACAAGGGTTGCGGACGCTGATGATGGCCCGACGCAGCCTTGCTGCCCAGGACTTTAAGCGGTGGATGGAGCTACACGCGGAACTCGAGGCCACCGGGGCCCCAGGCGAATCTGGTAATGCGCGTGAGCGCCAGATGCGCGAGTCTTACGCAAACCTCGAGTGCCAGTTGAGCTTACTGGGTGCTACTGGAATCGAGGTATATGCATGTGGAGCTTGTCTTCATTTACTCACTTTTCAGAAATTTTGTTTGAAAATAATACACCGGTACAAAGTCGTCAATCTGTGATTTTTTGCAGGATAAGTTGCAATCGGGGGTCCCCGAAAGCGTGGCCAGTCTCGTTTCAGCGGGCATAGTCGTCTGGCTGGTTACAGTTACGTATTTTGCATATGCATAATGTCGTTGATGAAATTTCAAACAACGAGTTGTTCAAAAGTACAGAAAAATATTTAATCGTACCAATTTTTAACAGGGTGACAAACTCGAGACGGCAGTCAACGTTGCTTACTCGGCGCACCTCTTCAGTTCACGAACGCAGCAGTTGCGGTTGCAGGCGCGTTCCAAGTCTACCGCCGAGAGCCTCATCCGTGGTTACCTTGAGACAGTGGAGCGTGAAAATCGCTCGTGGCAGCAGCTGCCACCACATCAAAAATCCGTGCAACAACAGTCTCAGCAGTGGGCTATCGTCGTCGACGGCAAGACCTTGACGATCGTGCTAGATCCGCGCTCAGGTCTAACCGGGCCTTTTTTGGAGCTAACCAGAGCCTGTTCCAGCGTTTTAGCTTGTCGAGCTACGCCTCTTCAAAAGGCTTACATCGTCAAAGTGGTCAAGGAGCAGCTTGGCGTGCGGACCCTCGCCATCGGGGATGGTGCCAACGATGTCAGTATGATTCAGACGGCTGACGTGGGTATCGGATTGTCTGGACAGGAAGGCTTACAGGCTGTCATGGCCGCCGACTTTGCCATAGCTAAATTCTATATGCTGGTAAAATAATGATCAATCCCGAAAACAATTAATTCTTTTTCAAACGATTACTTTTAGCACTATTTTTTTTTTTTTTTTTTTTTTTTTTTTTTTAAACGTATTGTTTTAGACACGGTTGCTCTTAGTGCACGGACACTGGTCGTATGATCGTTTGTCTAGGATGGTTAAATACTTTTTCTACAAAAACGCAATTTGTGTGTTCCTGATCTTTTGGTATCAGGTAGCCTAAAATTTATTCCATCTTTATTAACCTTGCCGCTACATTTCTTTCGATGGTATATTACTTTGTTTTTTTAGCTTTATTGTGGCTTTTCCGGAACCGTCATGATTGATCAAATATATTTATTCACGTACAACTTGGTATTTACGTCACTGCCACCGCTCATTTTGGGCGTGTATGACCAAATAGCTCCCGCTAATCTACTTATCGAGTCACCTAGATTGTACGAGAGGAGCCGGCTAGCCTCCGTTTATCAGCCGCACTCGTTTTGGATCACGATGGCTGATGCTCTGTACCAGAGTATCGTCATATTTTTCCTCACAGAAGCTGTAAGTTGTACATTTTACAGATTTTGTCTGTCCACACATAGCCATTTTATTGTCACTGTTTTTTCTTAACAAGGTCTATTACGATTCCGACGTCGATATCTGGGAATTCGGAACAACTATAACAACATGTTGTATTGTTGTGACATTAATGCACATTTGCCTCGAAATCAAGTCATGGGTAAGGAGAATTAGTTTATTGTGTGTACTTCTTTATCAAGATAGCTGTTTTTGAGCATTAATTTTTTTTGTTAAATTTCCAGACCCTCATACACATAGCTGCAATTTTAGCGTCATTAGGCGGATTTTTTAGTTTTAGTTTTCTTTACAATGCTATTTGCATCAATTGTTTGGGACTATCTGGTTCATATTGGGTCATGCAAAAGGCTATTGGTCGGCATATATACTGGTTAACCGTGATTCTTGCTTCAGTTCTTGCTGTACTGCCAAGGTATGTGAATCACGCATATAGCGTGTATATATATATTTTTTTTTTTTATTCGTTCTAACGTCACTGTAACATTTCAGGATTTTTTATAAAGCCATCAAAAATACCGTTTCACCAGATATAATACACAGAGCCAATGCGGCTTGTAAATTCTCTCAAAGGGTAACTGGAACTAGACCTGGCTGGTCACAGTCACAACACGCAACGATAAGGTGAATACTGCCAATTATTTCATGTAACTTATCTTTATAAAATATGCAGGGTACATGCAATTGGTTGCACTATGCTTAAATTTATGAAAAAGTATGAATAAAAAAATCATATTTTGACTTTTCAGAACAGGTCATTGTAATACCAAAACCAATGTTTTGTCCACCATTGTTACGTGACATTTAACAGTTTTAAGGATTTACAATGCTATGACTAGAAAATAGTTAGGAAAAGTAATTGTAATCTTAAGAAGAGAATCATCGTCAAGAATAACACTAACCAAGTGGCCTTAATCACAGACTACTGTGGATTGCATTTATCGGCTGTGATTTTTAGGGACCAAGTTTTTTACGCGTGTGCTTACGTATCTGCCAAACAATGAATTTTATCGAAAATATAAGTAATTCTGTTATAAAACTAATGTTAAAAAATAATGTAAATAATTATTTGCTTTGAAACCTTGACAGAGTGTTTGTTCAAATATTTAAAACATTCAAACGCTGTTGATTCTTGAAGGGCATATTTTTGGAATGTTTAATGGAAAGCTGTAAATGTAAATAAATTTCATAATAATGTATTATTTTTAATCATAAATATTACGTCGAAAAAACGATGTATTATGATGTTATAAATAATAACATTAAATTATAAATACAATTTAAAGTGTTNTTTTTTTTTAATAAAAGAGATATTACACTTATTTTACACTGGTGCCGAGTTTTTTAAAGAAAAAATATTTTATTGAACATTAATGAATAAACTTGGGTAATAATTGGCGTTCAATGTAAGTTGTTGAATATCAAAAAATGTTCTGTAAGTTGTAGTGTTTAGTTATTGTGAGCCAAAGGTGCTAACTATTTAAAAGCGCTCGTAATCTCGTATATGGGGGGGGGGGAGACTGACCTCGTTAAAGCTTGAAACTGACGTCTGTGTCCTGAATTGTGTGAATAAAGATTCCAAAAAATAAAAACTTAGAAATAAATACATTACGAACAAAAAAAAACAACAACAACGAATGGTTCATCATTTCGAGAGGAAATACGAAACTTTCGTCATTTGCAATCGAACGCGTGACAAAAGTGATAAAAGTAAAAACTGGCCTTGTAATGAAAAAAAACATGTAATGAGACAACAATTTCATAGATGGCATATTTTTGAAAATCATAAAATGAAGTATGCATTCACTCAGTTTAGAAACGTGCTTCCGTTAATTACAATCATTTGTAAATGAAAATAAGGGACCCATAGCGATAAAATCGGTTGGTTTAATTTTCCTCTACGTATTATCTTGCAAATTGTAAAATAACGTAATTTTGAAAAAAATAAATCAAGCGATGTAAACGAAAAATACCAATAAATGTTGGAACAGGAAGATATTTCAGTAATGCAGAAGTCGCGTGTCTAGCATTTTAGTGAGCCAATTGTATATCTACCTTTGTGGGGAACGAAAGGAAAAAAAAAAAAATCTCAAGTAGAAGCATATAGAAAAGAAAAGTAAGCTGTGCGCGGTGTACTTATATTACGCGGAACATGTCCCAGTAGTATAGGCATGAGAGTGTGTACGCGCGACCAAGTGGGGGCGGAGTCGGACGACGAGGAGCAGATGTAGAAGAAGAGTGTAGAAAGTCGAAGCTCAGTTAGCGTCACAGCCCGCTCCGGGACGTTGTTGGGGAGCCCGTGGACAACGATGTTATTGGACCTTTTGAGCTAGCGTCAAGCTTTTCGCTTGGATTTTTGGCTCGACCCAGTTAAACTTGACGCAACAGCTGTAGCATGACTGGGTCAGATACCGACACTGTTATCCGCAGTCTTATGCTGTAGTTTTCTGTTGTTGTTGATATTGTTTTGAGATCGGTATAGAATTCAACTACTATCGAGGGTGCAGCGTCCGTTATTTATTAAAATATACCTAATATGTGCTCCAACGGGTTACAGTGAGCTGTTGATCATTTTCGGTTGCATTACACCGCTCTACATGGGACACGCCGTTGTCGTCGCTGATGCTGGAGGACACCCAAAAAAGTTGCGGTAACGTAATATATATATATATATATATATATATATATATATATATATATATATATATATATATATACATGTATACACTTATATTTACTACCCAAACCTCTCACCCTCAAGCACCCTGTGTATAAAATATGAATATTTACCCCTCAACCCCTATACGTGTGCTTGCGTATGCACACATACACAATTATTTTTCAAGTCTGCCAAACTGGTGCAGTGGCGCACAGCATTGAAACAGTATAAGCCAATAAGTACCTACTCGTTGGTATAATTTCTTGCATACCCCACTTATATTTTCTCGGGTGTGTATACATGGGTATATTTTTTAAAATGCTCTCATTCATGCATCATATATATAATATACACACATAGGTAAGCGCTATTTACATGATTCGTAAATGCTTAAAATATATAATACATCCCGGGTATACATATACGTATGTACATGTGACACACGTGATATAAGTCGTCGTGTATAACTCTAGTGTACTCGTCATCGTCGTCGTTGCGGAAATGCGGAGCCATCAGACTGCCCGCTGCCATTCGCATTCATTTTATGCTTTGCTCGACTCTTCTCTCTTCTTCCTTTTCCTACGATGGTTCTCTCTCTCTCTCTCTCTCCCTCGACTCGATGAGTCAGCTGATAACTTTGTTTTCTATCCTATTACAAGTACCTGTAGGTACATTCTTGTACCTATAGGTATATACCAACATCATCGTGTTATTACCTCGCATCTATCATTTTTTAGTTTAAATCTTGCAGTACTTACTTAGGTGTAAGCTTTACTTGGCAAAGGTACATTTACTCTCGATCACTTGCTTTATTTGTTCTTATTTTTGCCCCTTTACCCTTGCAAATTTCACAATTCGTAAGGCGACCCTTGAAAATAAAATAAAAGCCCCCCGACCCCCCACCCTGGCACCTCATTTTTCAGCTCATTTATCTTTTTCACGTGCCTATCTACTTATATATAGTTATGTAACTCAACTTTATGCGAGTTTATTATTTAGCACAAGGTTCCCCCTCTGTGTAACTTTAAATTAACGATTTTGCTACATAGTTTTTTTTTTCCTCCGACGCCTGATCTACAAATATTTGTCCTCTTTTTTTCACAAATAATACAAAGAAGCGATTGTCTCTGGCCGTTAGGTACACGTAACACTTTTTTTTTTTAATCGGCGAAACGGCACTTGTTAATGTTATTTGATCATCTATTTTTATCGATTTGTCAAAAAATATTTTTATCCATCAAATAACATGTATATATACCTACCTATCATGTACAACGTATTTGTAATAAATAAAAAATAAACATTTGGTATCATTTGATGATGGCCTTGGATTGTTGCACAATTTGTTGGGAATAAGTCGGCATATGACGAATGGAATCATATACAGCTGATGATTTCGAATATACTCGAGTATTCGGAGATAAAACGTTGATTGAAAACTTGTAAGTAAATAATAATAATAATAATAATCGTACCCGATGATAATGACGATGATGATGATTGGCTCGATCATCTCAGCATTAATTTCTAATATAACGCGCCTCACAGGGACATACGCACAACAACAGTAACAAGCAAATAACCATAATATTCCTCGTACATACATACAACCACCTTTGTTTTTATACGTATACATATTGGTGCAGCGCGTATTTTCCCTTGGACCGTTTAAATACCAAGATTACTTTGTTACACGTAAGTACACTTACTTACTTCCTCAATGCAATCTAATGATTTGTCAGTGGCCTTGTGCATGCTTTTCATGCTGTTTCACATACGAATCGCGCGTCTCTCTCTCTTTTGACTTTATATATAACATATTTGTTACGCCGCGCAATTATTGCGTTGAGTAAGTATGACTTTTCAGAAATGTTTTTTTTTAAAACTCCCATTTCTTTCGATTCACTCATGGGTGTATTGTACCGGTGCAGCCGCGTGCGTGACAACAATAATCGATCGGCTGCAGTGCATACACCACCACCTACCCACTTACCTAATATATATAACTCGAAGAAAAGGTGCACGAGCATAAATAAACGTCTGCAGACTGCTGACGTGAAATAGATACGAATTCATTCGACGACTCGACTTTTTTAATTTTTCCCTCAACTCAAACTTTACGTTTTTTTTACCGTTTAAGTAGGTATAACGCATTACACTGGCTTTTGCATTCACATACAGAAAACAGTGATAGGTACGAAACTAACGAAATTAATATTCATTTCACATTGCGGCTAGAGGGGCAGAAGAAAACATGTTGAAAAATTTTCGTCACACGCATTCTTTTTTTTTTCCCCCATGTTGTGATCATTTTTTATTAACTTTGACAAGTTCTGGACCTACAAGAAAGTTAAAAAAAAAAATTGTTTTCTTTCTCAATAAGCAGGAAAGATATTAAAAAAAGGAAATAGGAAAAACTATAGCTACGAGTAGCGAAATGGTAGAGTCACGTTATCGTCCATCCACGAATGGGTGTCGCTTTTTATCTTCGTGCATTATTTTATTCGCAGAAATATAGAAATAGAGTATGATATTTTATAGTGCGAAATAAATTAAAGTCAACCTAATTGGAAGGTTTTTTTTTTTTTTTTTTTTTTTTTTTTCTGATTTCCAGATGCGGCCGTTGGCAGGAATTGGCTAATGATAGATAACATTTGAAGAATGTAAGAAAAACAGTTATTTCCCGCGTTAATATTTGAGAATATAAATCCTGCAACAATCGTGATGCTGGTGATGTAGATACACACAGTTGCATTGTTCGTCAGTGAGTGTCGCAGCAGCGCGTCGATCTCGTGGTTTTCTATACTTAGCTGCAGCAGCGTTGAAGAAAGATGACGATATCGTACACCGCAGAAGTTGCCACCTGCAGAGGCTTTGGCTGTTTTTTAAAACTATTGTTGAGGTTTGTAATTACCATTTTTCTCTTGACTACTTAATGTAATATTTACTCGATAAACCAGTTCTATGAACCATCTTGGGGATTAATTTTATCATTAAACCGAGTACAGTTACAATAAAATTGTGATTTTTGATGAAAATTTTGCAGCTATTAATAATCAAGAGACTGCACGCACAGGCAATATTATTTCAAAGCCACTAATTAACGTTTTAAGGTTGCAATAGTTGCGAAGAGTCGATAAAATAACACACCCAAGGCTACAGCTGAACGGCATCAATGTGCCACACATTCGTGTCTTTATGTAATAATCTATGCACATGAACTAGAAACACATAATTATTATTATTATTACCATTATTATAATCATATCTATACGGGTATAAATAACGGAAAAAGGGTATAAAAAAAAACAACTCAATATTCTACTTATTCAAGTCTCGCGACGTATAAAAAATTTTAAAATTATTTTGCGCAATTCTTACGAGGAATTTGACAAAATAATAACTTGACCGGTCTTTCGTTTTATAATGTATTGTATATAATTACACATACAAACACAAACAACCGATGCCTACAGCTCGAGCGATTATAGTTTTCTTTTCACGTGATAGGTACATAGGGTTTATCGGATTATGTGTATAGGTGTGCGTATAACATTGTAAAAGTTATGTAGAGACGAAATGAAAATAAAAAATAAAAAAATACCAACAGGTGGAAGGCGAGCGTTTACAAATTGATATGGACAGACATGTTGCTCTTCCTCACGATATATTATTGCCTGTCGGGCCTGTACCGGTTGGGCCTTGAGGAGGAGCAGAAGCGGGTCTTTGAGCGGGTCGTCGAGTTCTGTCGCAAGCACACCTCCTCGAGCCCGCTCTCGTTTGTCCTCGGATTTTACGTGACGATCGTTATGAATAGGTGGTGGAGCCAATACATAACGATCCCGTGGCCCGATTCTATAGCCGTCTTCGTCTCAGCCACGATCCACGGCAATGACGAGCGCGGACGGCTCATGAGACGTACCATCGTAAGGTTCGTATTCGTACGTGTATTCATTTTTCTATACCTACCTATATACATATAAATAGCCCATACAACAACAACATATTTATTAAATTATAATATAATACATGAATTTGTGCACGTAACTGCAGCAAATATAATGTAAAATATAATAGGTGATGATGGTAATAATACAACACGTGCGCATAAAATAGGTACGTGTGCGTGTGCCTGACCCTCGTGCTGGCCAGCGTATCGCCGCGCGTTAAAAAAAGGTAACTTTGATTTTTGGCTTTTTTCATTTATTTATTTTATTTTACTTTTCCACCAGCCATATAAAGCTTGTATGAAGCATTTGTTATCCTTTTTCTTGCACGTTTGATTATGTTTTTTTGAAAGATTTCCAACAATGGATCACTACGTGGACGCGGGCCTGTTGCTCGAGAACGAGCTCGCGATATTCCAAAGCCTGAACAACAAGTTCCCAAAGCCGAGCAAACACTGGCTACCGATCGTCTGGGCGTCGAGTATAGTGACGCGAGCGCGCAAGGAGGGCCGGATCAGGGACGACTTTGCCGTTAAGACCCTCATAGACGAGCTCAACAAGTTTCGGGGCTCGTGCGGTGGCCTCGTCCACTACGACACCATCAGCATACCCCTCGTTTACACCCAGGTCGTCACCATAGCCGTCTACACGTACTTTTTGACAAACGTCATCGGCCAACAGTGGATACACGAGGAACCTCAAACCGTCGACATCTACTTTCCAGTTTTCACGACCCTCGAAATGTTCTTCTACATGGGTACGTACGACTCGTATACACATGACGTTTACCATTGTTTATCATCATTATTATTATTATTATTTTTTTCTTTTCTTTTCTTTTTCTCGCTACAAGGCTGGCTCAAGGTCGCCGAAACCCTCATCAACCCGTTTGGCGAGGACGACGACGACTTTGAGGTCAATTGGATCGTCGATCGCAATCTGCAAGTCAGCTACCTGATTGTCGATGAGATGCACCACGAGGTACTTGATTTTTTAAATTTTAATAATTTTTTTTCTTTTCCTGCAAAATGATCGTTTTATTGATTTGGGTGAAGCACCCCGAGCTGATACGCGATCAGTACTGGGACGAGGTCTTCCCTACGGAGTTGCCCTACACGGCGGCCGCCGAGCAGTTCAGGGAGGAGCACCCGGAGCCCTCGACGGCCGGCATTCAACTTTCGGCCGCCCAGCAGGAGCTTCAGCCCTCGAGCGTCAGGATCGACGAGCTGGAGAAGGAGTACCAGCGCAAGTACCAGGGCGACCTGGGCAACGAGGACGCCATCTCGGGCATACACTTTGTCGCCGGGGGCAAGATATCAAGGAGCGGGAGCCGCGTTAGCCACCGTGACCGTACCATGAGCGCGGGCTCGACGCCGAGCAACATCGGGGGCTCGCTCACGCGAATCAACAGCGTAACCAACGTCCTCAAGCGAATCTTCAACAAAGAGGACAGGCCCGACGGCACCCGGCTGCCCAACTCGACGTCAGCCGCGTCCCTCAGGGTGCCAGGTACTCGTAGTGCTTGTCATTGTGATTTTTCTCCCAATTGCCGATACAAGGATAAAATGATTGGGTGAACGGTCAACAGGTGGAGGTGGCTCGATGAGGATCGGCGTCATCGAGGAGGTGGACGAGCAAATGACGATGACGTCCATGCGCCCGCCGGACAATCGTCCCCACGTACAGAGTATATTTCCCCAGGGGCCGCCACCGCCTAGCGAGCCCGTCGACGTCCCGGGCTCGGGCTCGATGTCCCGCAACGGCAATCTCCTTCTGTCGACGAGCGCACCCGTCAGCTACCCCGACTCCGCGGAAAGCGCCTCCACGGCCCGCTACCGGCCGACGAGGTGAGTTGTAGAAAATCGTGTCGCCCGGTTTTATGTATACGTGTGTGCATTCGATTCGTCGATTTTCCCAGGGGCCAAATGTCGGCGCCGGGTGGCCACACTGGCGCGGTCTTTGACTCGGCCGCCTTCGTCAGGGACAGTACGCGCAGCTCCACCGCGAGCAGCGCAAGCGACAACAGTCTGGACGACGAGTTCACGAGGCTCAAGTCGGAGCGCGAAAAGCAGCGCAAAGAAAAGGTCTTGCAAAAACTCACAAGAAGCGTTAGTAATCGTGCTAGTGGCGAGCAATCATCGATGAACACTCGCGACACCGAGATACTTTTGAGCGATTTGCCGAGCATGTCGAGGCTCAATGTTGAGGCGCTCGAAAACGACGACAAACCGCTGAACGAGCGCAGGTAGAAAACCTGAACCCACCTTTGCTCTCGGCAAAGCCGCCTTAGTATTATTATCATCGTTATCGTTATCTTTAGTATTAAGTATTCGGTTACTGGGTCAATGCTAACACGTTCTTCTTCTTCTTCTTCTTCTTCATGTTTTTTTATATCGAGCAAAGAAAGATAAAATACCGAAACTTATTTTTTCTACTTAAGCTACGATGAACAACTATAAGCGAAAGAAAAGTATCTTGTTTAGGGAAAGTTTGTTAAAGTTCCGATTAGTGTTAACTACGAGAAATCACCTTTTTTATGCGCACTAACAACTTGAAGAAAAACAATTATTTTTTATTTATTTATTCGATTCAGGGTATGGATTATCAAGTTTTTTTACTCCCTCCCCGTGATAATTGTTTACTTTTGCACAACAACTGCCAAACTGTAAATTGTTTGAGACAAGGCAACACCACGTTATCGGAAGTATACACACACACACACATATATATACATAGGTACTTTGTATACTGCTGAAGAGTGGAGCTGTGTTTTCCAATAATCTACCGGACGTAAATAGCCGACGATTTTAATTCAAAGAGACGGTGCATTACAACGATCGAAATCGCTTGGGTTTAGATTAATTGTTTATTCATAAAATCGATTGAATAAAAAATAATCGAGAAAATTCAACACAAAATTTTTTCACTGTTATCATCATCATTTGAAAATTGTACAAACCTTGTACAGAGAAAAACGATCCGTAACTTTGTTTAATGTAATAATATTAATCAATAAAACGTTGCCTTCAACCAAAATCGTCCGGCACTACCTAGATAAGCAGCAACATTGGCGCCCCCGAAAATACAACATTTCCACGTCTCATGTACAACTTACAGTTGGCAATAATAGTTGTAGAGTATAAGGTACACGCACACCCCCTATTCCTATATGTATACAATCATATTTTTTTCCTATGGAAGAGTACTCGCACATTTTAAGAAGAAATCAAACAAAGATTTGTAAGTATATGTATAGGTATACAGTTTTACGATGGTTGACGGATTTAAAGTAAACATTAACTGTTTTATGGATTTTAAAATTTTTTTAAATTTATCAAAGGAATACAGATTAATATAAATTGTACACATTTGCCATCTGGGCTTTTGATACAACGAAATACTATTAAAAATTTATAGGTATTGTAGGTTTTAAATGACAGAAGGTCTAATGAGCCATAGAAAATAGTTTTTCATGAGGTCGTCGAGTTCTGTCGCAAGCACACCTCCTCGAGCTTAAGTCAAATAGTGTTTTAGAAATATCATAAAATGTTAAATCAATCTAAACGACGGCAGTATGTAGTTACTTAATAATAATAATAATAATAAAATTTAAAAAAATCGCAGGGTTGAAGAAATTTGACGGTAAAGGCAATTTTATTTTTTTACTTCTTTTGTTTTAATTGGTATAAAATCCATGTAGAAAAATATGAAGAGTAAAAAAATGTTATCTTCGCGGAATATGCAATTTTATTATTATTTACTTTTTTTTGTGTTATATTGTTGTAATATGTATGTTACAAAGGTGGAGAGTAAAAAAATTTTTATTTATTTTGTAAATCTTGCTGTGTGTAATCGGGATGCAACATTGTTAAAGTATATAATGGAAATAGTTTGTAAATAATTAGGCTCGTTTAAAAATCAGACGATATTTTCACTGATTGTTAAAATATTTGTATTTTCTCAGCTTACAACTTTTTATACAATTTTTTACATTGATTTTGGAAAATTTTTGAATTTTCATTCTCATCCACTTGTATGCTCTACTGAGACGTGTATACAACACATACATATATAATATATACAAATATTACAGTAATCTGCCGCTTCTTATATATTTTATACGAGACATGAGGAATTGCTGCGAAATGTTGGTGATCAAATGAAAATCATCTAAGCAATGCAATTAGAAGAGTCGCTTTTATAAAGTGCACTTTGAATAATTTTTACACCAATAATCGATTTAATGTTTGTAAATGACAAACTTTGATCTACGATTGCTTTGTTACGTTGCAAGCCTTACGAAATATGTGTTCTGTTGAACAAACTACTATTAGCCATGTAATTTTAATGCGCTATACGTATTTACATACACACATACTTAATTACACACAAAAAAAACTGTAGAAAAGCATTTTCGAATAATAGAACAAATGAAATTTTACTTAAGATAAATGAATGATCAGCATTTTTTTACTACAGTCTACAGTCCACTCTACAGTACAAGAGTAACGAAATTATGAATACATAGACTCATTGATCGAGAAATCTACATATTATGTAGTTATCAATTAAACAGTTTAAAATAAAACATGCACAATCTTTAATGGTCCTTTGCTGAAATATTTTTTAAACTTGGTAATATCTACATTCCAAGAGAATCCATGCAAAATGAAAGATCAATTGGAGAATTATTAATTAAGGGGGTCAGTGAGTAAAAGAAAAAGTTTCTTTCTCGTTGTACTTACCAACTACGGCGTATTACATGATATCGAAACGGCATTGCCACATTCCAGTGAACAATTAAAAATATATTAAACAAGCACACGAAACTCGAGCATAACGTCGAAAAGGCCTTGGATTCTAGCTTATTGTGATTTTTTTCATTTATCGTCCGTAGTTACGGCTTACGAGAAATAGTGTAAACACTACTAAGTAAATTAATACAATAACAATGTGTTTGATAATAATCGAAGAGAAAAAAATTAAACAGTAGTTTTAATCCTTTCCGCAGTATTAAAAGAAGAATAATAATGTATCGTTACGACGAATTAATAAATTTTTATTTTTATGCACGAAACATTTTCAAAAATTTTTTCCTCCAATGACCACTAATACTTTATAAGCCGAGTAGTCGAAACCTAGCAGGAACGGAAAGTTCCATACATGGAGCTCGTAAACTTTTTCCACCCTCTTTTTTTCTCTTAACTTAATTACACATGGTTTTGCAAATAAACAACAGGCTTCAGTTGACAGTAAGCACAATCAGATAAAGGGGGACAAAGGGTATAGTAGCTGAAAAAAAAGTGAGAAAGTACGTCGATCTTTGTACTTTAATGTAGATTAATTGTCAAATGGTTGGTCCCCGTCTACGATCGCATTTGAAATCGGTCATGCCTCACCAATAGTCCGAGATATAATTATACGTATATATAAATTTTGTGTATTTGAAAAACCGCGCTGAATCGGTTACATGATATACATGTACTGCCTGCCTGCATCGCGGTGTATGTAAATGCGGGGTAGTGGTGGCAAAATCGGTTGCGGGAAAGCACGATCTCGCCCTCGCATGATAGTAATTACCCGACGCTTGCCAAACACTTGCGACCCATAAATTCGAGCCACCCACTAACCTATGCGTATATAGGCACACCTGCATTATTGCGTTGCCTACTGCATAATTATATAACCGGGTAGGTAGAGAAGTCTTTGACAATGGCAAGAGAGGCATAAATAAGGGACGGCGGGGGGTTTTCAGAGAGATTTATCATTATTATTGTTATTTTTATTATAATTTTTTTTTTTACCGTCATAAAAATCAATCCAGCACTGATCTAAGTATCCACAACACCACTTGGCACAATTACCTACTAGGTATACCCATGTGCCGGTGAGTGCAAGTAATAATATATTTTTGTATAGGTAATATCCGCCGGCACCGCCGTGCTGCTGTATAGATAATATATTATGATGGTGCTCGGTTTGTGATGCGGAACCGATTACAATGCATACACACGGAAAGACCGAGATCATTGAAAATTCCCTACTACAATATTTGATCGTAAGAAATACTACACCAACGTTATATTTGTTGCTTACTAACACAAGAATTTTTAGTGTCACCTTAAGTGGTCTTAAATTTCGTGCCAAGTATATAGGTTTTAAGATATCAGTACAAGTATTTAGTGACGGTGGTACGGTTTTTTTCCCTTACCAACTGTAGCTATGAAAAATAGATGTATCCAGTAGGTGATTACGTTTTACATAACATACTTGAGCGTAGGTCTTAGACAGACGTGGTACGGAAAAAAACCGTACCAAGCTATGAAAAACTCATAACTAAGTATAGTAGAGGATTTTCAATGAACTCGGTCTTTCCGTGTAGGTTTTAGACGGACCTGGTACGGGAAAAAAACCTTACCAAGCTATTAAAAACTCGTAACTGAATGTAGTAGGGGATTTTCAATGAAAAAGGTCTTTCCGTGGCAGCTTCACTGTAGAATAAAGCGCATAATAATATATATGGTAGTACACAGCCCTGCGTTATTTACCGTATGTATAACTTTATCCCAACAATACTTGTTCGTCACAATATTTTTTAACTTCGGGCTCTCGTTTTGGCACAGCGATGATGTAAAATCAATGAATGTAAGTATTAAAAAAAAAAAAAAAAAAAAAGTGAAATTCGAAAAGTATGGAAATCGAACATCAGGTTTGCCCAGCGAACGTCGGATAGGTATGCACATATTACGAAAGAACGTCAAAAGGTTTTGAACCCGAGGGAAGGGGTCGTACCCGTATAAACGTATAAATGAATGAATGAACAAATCATCGGGTCGAGCAACAACGATGAGCCAATAACAGACAAAACCGGGTGATTGGTAGAATGGGGAAAGAGAGAAAAACATGGGTAGGGGCTGGATGGCGCGAAACAAACACATCAAAGCGTTGGATGTGTTGTTACGTCGAGAGAAAAGAAATAATAAGGGGTCCATGCAGGAAGTATGGAGCTACACACAGATACGGCTGGTTGTTGGTGGTGCGGCATTATTCCGGCCACGTATTTGTTGTTGTAAATATAATAGGACGGTAGAGAACAGGTGCGATGGCCCACCGGATTTTTCTCGAAAGCTGCTCCTCCTCCTCTTATACGAGCACCGACCTCTTTGACCTTTGAATATTTATAATGGCTCGCACGAGATGTTCACCGGTGGATAAAAAAAAGGAGAGAATAACGAATGAAAACAGAGGTGAAAGCTATAGGGCAACGGTAACTGCCGAGAGTGCTGGCGAATTGACTTTTCACTTTGCTTAAAAGCTGTTGGTATCGCATCGCATCGCATGATATAGGATAATATAATAACAAACACAACAATAAGTATATACTCATCATTCGACGCACTCGCTTATATATATATATATATATATATATATTATACGAATACAATTGTCACAACGACGACGATAATGCTGATATAATTAATAATAATGATAATCAAATAATCGGGAGAGTGGGGTTACGATATGTTGTTGCGTCTAGTGGCTGGTTCGTTGGTTGGATCGATGCCAAGTAATTATCGATTTATTCGTCGATACGAGCAAAAATATATATGGGTGTGATGCAAGGCCGGTCCGTATGGATGTAGCCATGGTGAGTTGTGGCTGGCCTGGGAAGGTGGACGTGTGCGGCCGCTGTTGAAGTTCTCCGGCCATAACGGTCTATTAGGGAAATTTTATGGCTAAGGATTTGGCAATAAAAAATTTTCAAGCGTCGTTATTTAGGGCGCGCGCTGAAAAGCTTTGGATCAACATTGCTCAAATACTGTACAAATAATTGACGGATTAAAGGACTACGTATGTACGTATACATATTATCATGTTACGTAGGGATAGTGATGGGGGGGGGGGGGAGGAAAACTTGGACGACTCGTACAACTGCAGGGGGACCGAATGAGTCTCGATTGGCCTTTCTCCCCAAACTGCATGCATCGTATACCTACCACTTAATAGGCTTCTTTGCAGATAATATAAGTTGGTGTAGTATTTACTTCATGGCTATATGGAAAATATTATGTAGAGCCGTCGACTATAGTCCGTAAAAGAACATTATAGGTATGAGGCTTTGTCCCACATTCTCAACACCGATATAAGCATTTCCATCATACAATTAAGTATTCTGGTTAGCCAAGTCCCAAGCCGTATATTTTACGGGCACACATGATTATCATATTATTATTTCATGCGCAACTTCGTGACAATCGCTTGTGTATAATATAATATCTTCCGGGAGTATTTTAAAACATAACAGATTTTTCGGTTTAATTAAAGTGGATCAATCGAATAATCCGGTACTTTTTGAGATATGAGTTGACATTGTTACCAACATGTAAATTTTTGTAAAAAATGTTTGTCACGTTTTACCTACTTAATTAACGTTTAAAAACTATATGTAGGTACTTACGTTGTTCTCTTAGAGGCTGCAACAAGTAAAGTAAACCAAAAGTGATTGTCCCATGGATAGGTTTTGTTATTTGCGATTTCCATAACCAAATTGTCATTATTTATAGAACCGTAAGTTTGTGTGCATATAATAATAATAATAATAATAATAATAATAATAATAATAATAATAATAGAAAAAAAGGAAGGGAGCTAAAACNTGAGGATAAAAATAGTGAAGACAATCATAATGATTATGATGATTATAATGATGATGATAATGATAATAATGATAATGATAATAATAATAATAATAGAAAAAAAGGAAGGGAGCTAAAACACATATACCTAAGGGGGTAAAGGGAGCACGGTTACGCATATACGGTAAAGTGTAGATGTAGGCAGGCAGCGGGTGAAAATGGGTGCTGAGTGTCCGGGGGGTTGGATAAAAGTGCAGAGTGCACAGCGGAGAGAGCATTTTTCAAATTTATTCGCGCAATTGGCGTGAAAAACGCCCTTGAAGCCCTGTCAAGCGTATTTCACTCGGTGCTCGATAAAAATTCACGCCTGTAGCCGCGCTCTGGCCTCTGCACGGATTTGGTTGCGCGTGTTTGCGTGCGTGTGTGTGCAGCTACGCTACTATAGTATCGCACGCGGAGTCATGCACACACTGGCTGCCACTCTTGTTTATATATATATATGCTTTTATACCGTACAGGATCTAGTTTGGTCTCTCATCGCATCAACTACAACCCTCGTCGCTATATACTATATACCTTTTGATCAAACAAGCTGCACCTGTACGGTATATTGTTGTGCATATCATGACGCGTCCGAGAAAAAAAAAAAAAAAAAAATGAAACTGCTGCACCATCAGCCAATGAATATGTGTGTATATGCTTGTAATTGCGGGTGTATAAAACAATTATACCCATCGCGCGTGGTGCAGTACCCATAGTCTTCGTTGTTGTTGTTGTTGTTGTTGTTATTACTTACTCGAAAGAGTCCAAAGCCCCCTCCCCCCGCCCCGTCGGGCAATTGGCCGCTATCGCCTTGTTTCGCCTGAAATTTGAATTTTAAATAACACGCAGAGAGAGAGAGAGAGACCTATGTATACATATATATACATGTAGAGAGAGCTTATGGAGCGAGAGGGGAGGAGGGGAGACTGCAGCGTGATGCGAAAATCGAAAAACTGCCACACGCATTCGATGCGTCACCGCTCCACCTGTACATAAATATACACCCCCCCCCCCCCAAATCTCTCTCTCTCTCTTATACAGCCACGGTGTTTTTTCCATTTTCGCTCGCCCACTCGGTCTCTGCAGGCCACTTGTTCCCGTCATCGAGTTTTCGCCAATATGACGCTCCACGGCTGTACCATCAGCTATTCCTGCAGCGCGTGCATGGATTTGCTCTCCCATTTTTTTTTTTTCCTTCCGAGTCCATCTGTTTTTTCGTTCCAGTGCCAATAAATTCAGCTATTTTTTCACCGTCGCGTTTGTACTTTGATAAAAATAGTAAATCCAATCGAGAACCGTAGTTTGTGTGTACATATAGGCGTGCGGTAAGTTTATCAGATATCCCGAGCAATAGACGCTGCAAAATTTTCCGCCATCGGCGGGACTCGAGATGCAGGTGATCCAACAGGGTACCCTATATTAATATACTTAGGTATTATACCTGAGACGAAAAAATACCTTTAATCGATGAAGCCGCGACTGTATACGCGACGACTACTCGCGTGATGCATGCCGTGTATGAGGTGTTGGTGTACCTTTCAAGATACCCCATAATATGTGGATTAGATCCGAAGCTCTCCGAGATAAGACCAGCAGAATAAGTATTCTGTATATTTATCGTTGCCTACCTATACTCCATTGTTGCAAGCAGCTCAATATTATTTATTTACTTACCTGTAACGTGTACTTAAATGTATGTATAATATTTGTGCACGCGTACATCTGATCATGCCCCCCTGGCGCGCCTATAGGTAGGTATGGGTATAAAATCAAGGATATGGACATTTTGAGGAGCTCGTATGGTATTATAGGTGGTAGTAGTAGAAGCCACCGACTTGGTTAACCTCTCGAGGCAAATTAAATGCCCTGCATCAACCCAATAGTTATAATAATAATAATACACATACGTGAGGAGAAAAGAGAGGAATTAAGTATTTACTTACTTACTTACGTGAGCAAAAGACCTAGAGGAAGAGGTTTTACAAGAAAGAGGGTCAAAAAAAAAAAGAGTGTGAGAATATCAAGGTAAACAAAGAGTATAAGAATTAAATATAATATACATAATATATTATAGGTAGGTGTGTGTGTGTGTGTGTGTGTGTGTGTGTACAATGTGTGTTTTCTTTCACTATGGCAACATATTATGTGTATAATATTATGTCCTGTAACCCGCCTGCCATTACGTTACATTAATATGTATACACAAATAGATAAAGCTCTTCTCGCGGGTTCAAATATGTAGGTAAGTATAGCTTTGCTGGCCGAACTCCAGAAGATGTGCTCTATACTATATTATGTATGGGTAAGTAAGTATATAAATATGTAAAAGAAGAAAAAGTATATAAGCATCATCATTATAATAATCATTAGCTGTTAAATGTTAAACGCTGATCTATATACATTATACACATGAATATGTAATATGGTATATTGTAAATATAAGTGCTGCAGTCCTTTTGCGCGGGGAGAAAAATCTCGTGTCTGTAGCGTACTAATGGAGGTTTATTGCATCTGGCCAGCAAATACCGGGGGTATGTGTGCAGCGGAGAGCACGACGACGGCGCAAACAACTGATTTGTCACTCGAGCGAGGAGGAGGAGGGAGGAAATGCTTTATTTTCAATGAGTTTGTCCCTACATCACCCACCACCACACGTATACCTCCCTAACTGTAGCAAAAGATGCACAAGTTTTATTTATTGTACATGCATGCATATACATATATATACATACGTGGTACTCGTTGCTGGTATTACGTCGCGTCGCCCCTTGCATGCACTTTGCCAAATAAGTTAAAAAGAGAAAATGCATGCATGCGTGCACGTTAAATCCACGTATGTATGTGTTGTATATTATAGCTATTGACAAACGGACGGACGGGAGGAAAAAAGGGAGCAGTGCCGATATTAATGGGCTGTTTACACACTTTGCGCGCTATTCAATAACTCAAAACAGATGAGCTGCTGTATATTTTTGTGATATATATATATATATTTCGTTGTCGCGTGCTCTCTCTCTCTCTTTTTGACAGTATACATACATAATCGTAATAATAATAATAATAATAACAATAATAGTAATAATAATAATAATAATAAAGGTCTGATTATGTAAAGGTCTGCACCCTTGGCAATTTATTGTTATTGTTATTATTATTATTATTGTTATTTTTATTGTTATTGTTGTTATTGTTATTGTTATTATTATAACAATGATGATGTATAATAATAGTGGTTGGTGTGTTTTTCGAGTAAATAATAGTGGTTATCGGGTTAAAAGTGAAAGCAAAAAGAAAAATTGAACGTATATGCATGTATAATGTAGTTGTTGGGTGGAAACGAATCGTTTATTACAAGACAATGATGATTAATCATGGAGGAAAGAAAAAACCGAAGGCATGAATATATAATATATAGGGTATCGCATGGCGGTCAGGACCTACGGACGCGGTGTTTCGGATTGGCGAGGACCTTGACGCGCGGCCGGCAGATCGCCTTTAGAGCCCGTGGCAGGACCGAAAACGCGTTCTCCTTGAGGTTGGTCTCCAATCCTGGCTGCCGCTCGGCCGGTTTCGCCAGCACCACAATTCGATCGCTCGCTTTATCGAACACATCAATTCACCAAACATAAGCACTTGTAAGTACATAATATAGGTATAAATATAATATACTTGTGGATTTTCTCCAGGGCGTAACAGAGAGAGAAAGGGAGAGATAATGAAACAAAGGCGCATTGATATGATATATAGGTAAGTATAACTGTTGCTGCACTCACCGACGTACTGCAGCGCGCCGGGCCGGACAGCACCGGGTTGTAGGTAGCGCGGGGGCTGCTTCGGCTCGACGGTGGCGAGTTTAACCACGTGCTCGGTTATCTTGTAGCTGAGGGCGGAACGGGCCACGGAAAAGGGATCCCGCCCGTGGTCCTGATGCTTCGTCATCGGCTGGGCCAGCATGTTTGTCCGCTTCGGGTCAAACAGCCGCCTGATCCCGGCCTTTCCGCCCTTTGCGCTAGCCCGATGTTTCTACACATCAAGTGTTATCAATAATTTTTGCTGCTGTTTGCCATAACTATAATACCTTTTTTTTCTTTTTTTTTTCTTTTTTTCTTTTTTATGAAGAATTCAAGAGCCCCGTGTCTCAATGCTTCATCAAGAATTATTTAATCACTACAATCGGTTGAACTTACTCCAACCAAATTTTACAATTTTTTTTGAAAAATTAAATTCAGATTATCGGCTAGAGAGGGTTGAATTTTCTGATCAATGAAAAACATTTTTTGGCTCCTGATACGAGCGGATGTACCAATGTTTTGCAAGGTTATATAGTATGAAAAAAAAAAAAAAAAAAAAAAAATCGGGTAGGGGAGGAGAGGATGACGCTCGCACTTCTTAGTACTCAAGTATGAACATAAAATTGAAAAAACTGATGATATTGTACAACCAGTGCGTACCTTTGGCTTCGGTGGTCTGTGTGTGCTCTTGGGCGCAGCGAGCCTCGCCAGGACTTTGTAGTGCCTCTCCCAATCCGCCGGTTTGCTGAGAACTTGGTGCAACTTTTTCCTAATCTTCAACCTGCAGCGACAAAAGTGTTCCTACAGTCAAGCACAATGGCTAATTTAACTGGCAACGATGCGGCGAGGGGCGGGAATTAAAGTCAAATAATTGATCGTCACCCAACTGTATTCACAAAAGTCCCTGCCAACCCTATATATGCACTTTCATGATCAGGGAGCTTGACTGTCGGAAGGGACGAACGAACGAGATGAGCCAACATTTTTTTCAAATGAGTACGCTCACGGTACGCATCCCATATAATATATACAACTTGGTAAAAATTACCACAACAACCCTCAGTGCGCTTGTAGCCGGATCCTTTACTCGTTTTTTTTTTTTTTTTTTTTTTTTTTTGTCTCAAAGAAACGCATGCACTTTATCGAGGTATACTTATGAATAATAACAACCGAACGTGTTGGCAATGACAGTCAAGTCGCAATGCTAAAAAAAATTTGGTTATGGTAACCTCACACGGTAAATCCATCATCACCTTTGGGGACCCCTGGCGCGGACCTTTTAACCACTTTTAACCCTGGACGAAACTTTGTGGATAAAAAAACGATCGAGTCGATCACTAGTATATACGACCACCACTTAGTGATACCCACTTACTTAACAACACATCCGATCTACCGGCATTAAAAGTTTTAAGAAAAGTTTCGTGCCCTGCAGCAGTTGCGCTTTAATATATATATATATATATATATTGTCACGTATACGGTATTGTCACGTTAGGTAGGCACATAGAAATGGGCTTTGCTTGTAAATTAATCCGTGAAAGATCACGGCTTGGCACTGCATCCTCCAGCGATATATAGAGAAACACTGCCACTGGGGATGTATATGTTGTGTGTGCATGTCGGGGAGTGGAAATTGACTGTTCTCGCGCGGAAAACGGGTACAGCGTAATGCACGCCCGGGCACGCGGAAAATTTATGAAACAAACACCGAGTTTGCATTTTCACTTCAATTATGCCGGGTAGGTATCGATTACCTTCCACCCACCACCTATATACTGCGGATAAATGTAGGATATGTTGTGTGTACAGGCCGAGCTAGACCGGCCACCGGCGTATGTTATGTGTACCTATACCTACTTACGTTTTTAATGACGACGAGGATAACCGCGTTACGCTTCGTTACGCAAAGTTTCGAGTGATGGGGGTGAACTTTCATGAATCGGGGGTATCTGTAATGTGTATATCGATCATCCTCGGAAATTATTTTCACGCCCATCTGTATGTAATTAGTCACGTAAGTGCCAGGCTGATAAGTGTAACCCCGTGTGCCCCAAATAAAATAAATCATACGCACGGCAAATACCTACGAGGTGGAACAACTTGTATACATGGATAAATCCGGTTCCTTGTGTAAGATTCGCGTATGTATATATATANCTTTTCTTTGGCAGCGACAGATCAAGGATTCGCTTGCTTGGCTCTCCCGCACCAAGAAATCCGACCTCCGGCTGATGCCGGATCCGTACACTCTGCCTGAAAAGAAGAAGAAGAAGAAGAAGATGTTAAGTTATTGTATATATATATATATATATATATATACACGAGACAGGAGAGGCCACTTGTTTTTTACTACCTACTTCATCCGTAATAAAACCAGGGGTTTCACGAAAATCCTAAAAAAACAAAAGTAGATTATTCGCGCGGATAATAAAAACAAAACAAATGGCCCGAATTTCTTCACGATGCAATTGCTTTATTTTTCGGCACGCAACAAATTAAATAAATTGTGTTTTTTCAATGAACGAAACTTGCAGCCGTTCGTCATTTCATGATCGCGCGTGCGTGCGTATATTTTTTAACATTTTTTTTTTTCATTCTTTTTTTCGCCCACACCTTTATTTATTACATTTTCGCGCTTCACTATTTCACATGGGCTTTTTGAACCACTCGACGTTTCGATGCGTAGGTGTACTTATAAATGCTATACTATATTATATGTTCACATTTTTACGATAATATATTTATAAAATATAATGTTCAACGTTTCTACAGGATATGGAAAAAAAAAAAAAAAAAAAAAAAAAAGTGTATATGGCGCGCGCAAGAGAGTTTACAGCAAAATTAATTCAAACTGTTTAGCAATTGAATGCCAGTGACGACGACTGAGATAAAAAAGCAACGACCAACAGTAGATACGCAGGTTCAATGATAGTAGCAGTAGTAGTAGTAGTAATGATAATGATAATAATAATAATAATAATAATAATAACAATAAGGATAGTATAAGTCGAGTGATGGGCTTCGATTGTGGGCCAATGAAAATGACTCGATTGATAGATATTATTTGCCGCGGGTAAGTGGCTGCGAAGATTCGCGACTGCGTGCGCGGGGGCACTCAAGGAGTCAAAGTAAGAGCCGATCGAGCGGCAAAAGGCACAAAATTGTTTCCGATGCTCGGTCGAGCGGTTTCGTTATACAGGTATATACTACGTAACCCACGAGAGCCGGCTGTCAGCGTAACGCGCAACAATAAAGAGGAGGCGGGGGATGGGACCGCATCACGGGGAGAAGGAGTAAGAATGGAAAGCAAAATCAGACCGAAAATCACGAGGCATTCAATCGAGCCGAGCGAAAAATCGATAAGCTTGGGAGGACTGCAGAGGAGGAGGCGACCCGCACCCCTCCCTCCTCCTCGGACCGATCGCGGATGGGGAGCGAGCCATGTTTTATAGCTTGCGAGACGCCGAACAGGGGAAAAAAAGAAGGATATGGGTACGGGCTTCCGAGAGCGACGGCGTGATGGAAAGGACACAATGAAGCACTGCTGCAGAGAGAGAGAGAAAGAGAGAGAGCAAGTGTATTGAAAACAAGAACGGAGGGAGGCTGCAGCCGGCAAATAAGTGATGTTACCGCCGGGCGAATGTACCTATTTGAGGAGGAGAAAATATAAGGAAAAGAGGGTAAGCATCACGAAAGAAAGAAGAGGTGGGGGGGGTGGGGGGAGGGGAACAAATTTACGCGTGAAAAGAAGTAATTTACTGCAGTAGTCAAAGAATTACGCGAAAAAAAATACAGAGAGGGCAGATTGACAAGGTGCACAAACATCAGTAGGTAACGAAAAATTGGGTAAACACGGGGTGCAGTATACATATATACAGAGATAAAGTGGAGGGAAGCGCTTACTCTCTGGCGGCGGCCCGCTGGGCTAGCGAGTTGCTGATAACTCGGTACTTCTGGTATCTTGATTTGCGAATCGCCTGGAGCCTCCCGCTTATGTTGGCCAGCAGATTCCGATTGCCCGCGCTAGAGACGTACATCCTGGCGTGAAGCAGGGCGCTGCGACGATTAAGAAAAAAATTACATCATTACAATGTACCTACATTATATGCGCGTATTATTATTATTATTATTATTATTATTATTATTATTATTATTTATACATTCAGGTACTGTAGGTGGATACTTTTCATGCTTGCGTATACAGTTGGGAAAAAGTAAAAGTTAAAATTGTTTTCATCTGATCGCAGTGCGACCTTTTATGGGGAGTCGACAATATCGCATGGAAAGGTTAGAAGAAAAGATAAAACAATTAAAAACCTATACTTGTTCATGCAGTATATCGCTCGCTGGAACGCTAAAACTGTACAAAATTGTATACGATTAGCGTTTTAATACTATATAGGTATAGCCCATCAAACCACCCATGTCCGTAATAGATACATGCGCAATGTGGCAATAGGAAATTTTTGTTTGATCATTATTATTACCTATACTATTTAAGTTATTCCTACAATAATCGAATGGACAAAAAAAAAGAGCTCTCTTGTACCTTTGTACAATTGAAAAGAATCGAAGGCTTACAGTTCGATAATGATATTTAAATTGCCTGCAAGCCGGCGTGCAGCATCAAGTGCGCAATTAGTATATAATAAAGTTTTCTACTTGCCGAAAGTTGGCACCGAGTCGAAAGGGAACGAAAAATAAAATTACGTGAAAATGAAGGAAAAAGAAATAAAAAGGGATGAGGGAGGGGGAGGGGGGAGAGAGAGAGGAGAACAATGAGATCCGGATGCTTTCGTTTCGCCTGTATAGGTATACGTATATATAAAAAGTAAGTGGGTTTTCTCGCTTGCCCCCTCCCACACAACATATACGTGCACTGTGCGGGACACCCGACACGACAACTAAGCATATATACCTATGTATATACAAACGCCTACGATTGAATTCCGATGAATCGGATGTAATGAATAAAGCGTGCCCCTCCCGCGCAGACCTTTTTATGTTACAATTAAATACGATTGGATACCGATACGCTCCATTAAATTGATCGCCTCTTTCTTTATTCCAATTCCCTGACGTGTATATACACGCGAGTCGCATATGTGCGCCTATAATATATATCCAGGTTTAGGTATCCTTTAGGTGTTGCTGTTGTTTCAATGTTATTTTTTGATTGGTACAGTTAACAGTTAATTTTGCCCGTCCCTTGTCAACTTCTCCGGTTATACATACGTATATGTATATGTGTGTGTGTCACTTAAAAGTGATTTCAATTGGTTGATTAGGAATGATAATGAAGAGCTCGAACAATTTAATACTGAAATATGGACTAGTTTGGGCGTGTTTGTATGAAACAATAATAGAGCTCGACGCCGAGGGCAGCGGGTAATGAAAAAAAAAAAAAAAAAAAAAAAAAAAAAAAAAAAAAAAAACCACGACAAGGTCGATGTACCCACAGGATAATATTACAGACACAGACAAACGGTTGTTCATAGTATCGGTTTATGATATATATCTACAACGACAAAAGTCAAGATGTTTATACATATACAGATTTTACATTATCTATCGATTAAAGCCTCGCAAGTTTTCAATAAAGGCAAATTGAGCGCGCGGCACAGAAACGTGCTGTACCTGCCGTTGCCGTACATGCATGCAGCTTTTCTGCTTCGTATACAATAACATCCATATGGCACGAGCACAAGAACTTTTTTCGAAGAGTAGGGTATAGTTACGATCAAGCAAATTGCATTCATAAACAAAAGCCGCGTCTCTGTATCACCTACAAATTATCCATCGATTTACCGATTTATCTATTAAAATGTCAAATGAATGAGTGGAAGGGGATGTGTGAATTTTTACGACTTTGGCAATGAAAACAAATAGCCCCGATCTACGGAAAAGTTGTGAAACGAAAAAAAAAGTACAGATATTATACATCTGCCCGGTATACACCAGCGAGCTATATATAGTTTAAACACATGCAGCGATAACATTATTGCCGGTGGAAAAAAAAGAAGCCATTAGGATGGAAGACTGTATAATAATTAAATAGGCATAATAGAGTTTTTAGGTGTGTATGGCCCATGTCGTGTGATTATTTGTTAAGAGCACCGTAGAGAATAAACTTATATATTTATACCTACGCGATTTGGGAGGCTATAACTGCAGGTATGAGAGCAAGAAAATAACAAAAGGGAGTTAAGAAGAAGGGCCGAGGGGTCAAAGGGGAGGGGAGAGAGTGCTTTTTACCGTGTCCATGTTGTGTTGTGGCTTCTGTGCTTGCACATGTTTCGTATCTACATTGTATATACATCTATGTGATACACGGTAAAGAGATGTGCACGCGATGTATTGCTTTTTCCCGAAAGTGACGTGCACGCGGCCTTTTTCCTTTGCCTCTGCAGCACCCGTACTTATATACATTATACCGGACGATGCGCCTTCCTTATTTGCAGATCTTTGGAATAACCCTTACGTGTATACGTATACCTACCTCGATACAGATTGTTCTATACACACGCACATACATGTATACGCCAACCCTACGCTGGCCTCTTTGCAGTCTTTGCTATAGTTGACGCTCTCAACGTCAGCTCGCACCAACAGATATAAGTATATAAACTGTTTTTTTGGTGACGGCATACACGGGGGAGGGGGGAAGATGTTATTGTACAAATTATCACACGTTGCTTGGCTTTGAATCCAGAGCCAGATATTTTTATGCGGGCGCCTGTTGTTAACGATGAAGAAAATTGAGGAAAAAAATTGGAGTATTTTTTTTTTTTTTTTTTTTTTTTTTGTAACCATGGACTCGATTTTTCAGTACGTAGGTATATTTTATAATGATACGCCGAAGTAAAAAACAAGACGTGGCGTAGTTTGGGCGCTAAATGGAAAAAACAGGAGAAGAAGAAAAGAGAAGCTATGGGGTAATAAATAAAAAATATCACCAATGTGGCCATTATAATTGCAAAGGCAGAGGTGGTGCATTATAAGAACGGGTATATATTTATCTATACGCATTTGTAGGTAAGTACATAGGTACTTATATGTATAATACAGAGGGAGGACGACACCGACGGCTTTGCTGACTTTTCCCATCTCGCGTGTACTTATTTCTCTCGGCTGACACGATGCAGCCATAAATTGAACGCCGACGTAGTCGTTGCATTTGGCTATCTATATAACATAATATACAGCCACCCACATCAGAGAGAGAGAGAGAGAGAGAGAGAGAGAGAGAGAGAGAGAAGAAAATAATAGGTACATGCAGACATCGGAGTATGCATGGGATTGACAGACACGCAGGCATACAACTGTACGTAGGTGGTAGGTATGTGTGCACAAAACCGATGTACATGTATATAATATAAATATGCACCGAGGCGCGCTACGAAGGCGCAGAGGAGGAGGAATGTTGTTCGTCAAAAAGAGCGTCGAGGCCTTTGTGTGTATAAGTACAAGTACTAAGTATACAATAGACTGCGCCGCGAGAGAAAGACGCGCAAATTAAACGGCGGCGGTGATGGGGACAGCAATGCCCGTGCGACTTTGCAACAGCTGCAGGATAAGAGGGATTGAAGAGGAAAACTGGAGGATGGGACTCGAAGAGATTTTGCCCCGTTGTCACGCCAAAGACGAGAGTGCGCGAGGAGGCATTGTATACCTCTCTCTCTTAGCAGCTATGTCGGCGTCATCGCCTTTTAGGTATACATGCATTACACACACACACACACACACACACACACACACACACACACACACATATACATACACACACACACACAAATAAACAACTAAATAAAAAGATCATCACACAAAAAAACATAAACCAAAATAAACATAAAATAAACAAACAAAAAAAACATCACGCAAAACAATAANTATATATATATATATAGGGAAGCTGCAGACATATTATCTACAAGGAGAAGAGAAAGCAATCAGCGGCGCTCTCCCCGTCGTCCCGCTGATGATTCGTCCTCTGTCGCTTCCACTCGAACGCACAACAAAGTACAATTTGTACATATTTATACATCATATACTATATATATATGTATGCATGCTGCATCTACGAGTTACACTTATTGCAGCACGTGGTGAGTATGTATACTTATATATAATTATACCTACTGATGATCAAATGCCGTCGTTCAACTTATAAATTTAATCTACCAGAAAAGATAAAAACATCATCATCACCAGAATAAAATATTGTTGAAATAACAATAACAATATAACAATGATGATGATGATGATGATGATAATATACCTATATTCTGATGAACGACGGCCTCCCTCGGTTTAAGCTGCGCCTTGATGAACCACCCTTTCTCCCTTCGTGTGCCCTTTTTACTTCCCGAATCGCAGCTATTATGTCATTGCGTAGATTAATTAAACGTGATTTCGAAAGTCTTAAGCATCAAGTACATAAGCATAATAAAGTTGCTTGGATGATGCATGACTTGAATAAGAAAAAGATGGAGAATAGGATAAAAATGTTGTCAGTGTCCCATGCAGTCACATTTCTGGAGGTGGTATATAAATAACGGTCGTCGTGGTAGGTGGTACAATCGGAGGGGCGAATATAAAAACGGGGGAAGTGCAATATACGGTACGAACGGGGCAAGCGATACAAGACAACGTGAGGGGGGTGGACGGCAATTTCGTATCCTGCATGAGCATGGAAGCCGGCTCGGTCACTCAACAAAATCACTTTTTCGCACGTCAAAGGGAAATCGGCCGCCGCTGTATGGGGAATACACACATACAGCGACCTTCCACTGACTGCGGGATAGCCGAGAGAGAGAGAGAAAAGATCTACACAGACAGTGGCGAGAGGAAAATGAAAATTGTTTGGGCACCGACCTTTTCTTTGGCAGCGACAGATCAAGGATTCGCTTGCTTGGCTCTCCCGCACCAAGAAATCCGACCTCCGGCTGATGCCGGATCCGTACACTCTGCCTGAAAAGAAGAAGAAGAAGAAGAAGATGTTAAGTTATTGTATATATATATATATATATATATAGACGGAGATGCGCGAGGACGCAAAGAGATGTTGGAAATGATACTGCTCGAGTGCTAAAGGATCGGGAGAAGGTGGAAGAAACCTTCCCCACTGAGAGAGATTTCATCTTTGTGTGGTAGTTTCGCACCCCAATAACCCCCCCCCCACTTGCTCGTGGAACTCCCGATTTTCATCGTTAACAAATAAGGTATACTTGAATATACATATATAAGGGGTTATTGGGGTAATATACAAGTCAAGTCGCACTACTCACGTTTGACCGTGGCTCTCGTAGCGCGGCATGATTCGCTTCGGCTGGGCCATCATCTTGGTCCGCTTGGTCGCGCGGGCCTTGAGAGCTGCGCGGCTCACCGAGAAGGGCCGTGACTGGAAAATGAATTTTCAAACAACTCAGGGCGCTATCGGCATATTACCGCACCACACGAGCCGGATAGGAGGACAAGGGAGCCAATGGTGGTGTATTTTATGTATATAGGTACGGAGCCCCGGGGGTCAAATTTATAGCTCCTCCATCATCCATACCCTCTCCCAAACCTTATGCGTACAAGCTGACACCTCCTGCTCTGTCCCATCCAGAACCACAGCTATATTTATTATTTCACATACATATTATTATACCATCTACCAGCTTTCCTACGTGTTATACACGTCGTTAAGTCGTTGATCGCTTTCTCCATCACTCGATGTACTTATATTATACGATTGATCGCAAAGTGCGCTAATTACGCTTATTTATCTATACTTTACTTATGTGTATTATATGTATACCTATTGTTATACCTAATTGTGCTCATGTCTTGTGTTGCTCGGTTGTGGCATACGTTCCGACATTAAATTTGTTTAAAAACACGCACTTCTGTAAACTCGTCTTCATTTGTGCGCGTTCACTCGCTTAGGTATTTTTAATGACCCTTTTTTTTTTCTCCCCACAAGTATGTATGAAATAAACTCTGCACGCGAAAGCACATTTCTTCTTCTTCCTTTCAGACTTTTAATTACTTGAAAATCTATACGTAGGTGTAGCATGGGGGAAAAAAAAAAGAAAAAAAAAACAACTGCAAGCTGGTATGATACAGGTACCTATAAGCGCGTGTGTGCAATTGCAGCACGCAAAATTTGTTGTCTGGGTGAAAATATTGCACAAGACGAAAATTCATTTCTTTCTCAGGCTTATTTTATATATTATATATATATATATACAGAGGGAGGACGACACCG